TAGGTACCATAGTTTTAGGCATCTTTTCCATGAACTCACCTTCAAATCAGAAGAATACGACCTATCCCCCCATCTTTGTCCCCAAGCTCCTATCATAGATTTTATGTCCTGGTTGGGCTGTTTTCTGCTACCCACTGGGTGTTTCAGAGGTAGCCACTGTGAATGTAGGAACTGGTCCCTAATGCTAGTGGCTGTGTATTGGAGTGTCAACATGAGCTGTTGAGCATTACTGTGTAGGCTGAAGACAGCCATTCCTTACCAACCCTATAGTGAATCTTGTCATAAAGTGGAACAAACTTTCTTCATGCGGACAGAGCTTCTGATCAGCCTCTTCTACACATTCATGTTTTACAATTTCAATCTCTTTGAGTTGGGGCTCACCTTTTTCTAACTAACATATGTACTCAAAGGTAAGTCACCTATCAAGTCTTGCAAGTTTTAAAACCTGGGTGCTGCACACCTGTGATCTCAGCACTTTGGGAGGCTGAAGCAGGAGGATCACAAGTTTGAGCCCAGCCTGGGCTACTTGATGACTTAATGAGACCCTGTCTCAAGAAAAAGAGGTGGAGATGCAGCATTTAACCCTCGCTATAAAAAAAAAAAATAAGTCTTATAGATCTTGCCTTAAATTTCTCTGACCCCTCTGATCTTGAATGACTCCAAGAAAGATCTAGCAGAGCTGCTAATGTCAGCAGGTAGGAAGTTGCAGCCAGATGAGGAGATCAGGCCGAGGTGGAGAGAGCTTATCTTATAGTTAAAGGTACAGCTGTGACTCATCTATGATTTGGCCAACTTCTGCAGCTACTGGAAGACTTTTGCTATGGAAAAACTTTAATGATCTCCATATCCTTTTTTGCTGCAGAATGAGGTTTTGGTGTCATAGAGCTGGTATATTGTGGGGGTTCACATCTCTGAGGCCTTTCCCCATTCTTGTTTCTCAGCATTTGATTACTAACTTGAAAGGTCAAGGAGACCAGCTGTCTGCGCAGCTGCCTTCTGGTTTAAATTGCTGGCGTAGGGAATTAAGAGGAAGGAAAGTGGGAGGGTTTGGAGAGCCTGAGTTCAAGGCTGGCTCTGTCTCTAGCTAGCTCTGTGAGCTTGGAGAAGTCATGTTTCCTCTCTGAGTTGAACTTCACATCTCCTACATGGATGGCAAGGTATGATTCTGTTTTCTCTTCCTGTTTTCATAGCCAAAAATTATTTTCCTGGATTTGCTCCATCTCTCAAGTGCTCTGGGCCTGCTGGGAGTGAGGTGGTCCAGGGCATATTGCTGTTTGCCCGGTCTGCCTGTGTGGGTATGATGGACTCTCAGCACACACAGGCAGCTTCCACCCTGCCAAGCTGTGAGCCTGCTGTGGGCCGGGGAGTTGCTGGGGGAAGCCCTGATCTGGGGCATGGAGAGGAGGTGGGAGGCACCCTGGGTTGTAGAGATGTGGGTGTGGGTCACTCTGGAAAGGGTGAGGGCCGGGGACTTCAGGAGCAGGCCTGTGAGGGTGTTCTTGCACTCTTCTTCTCTCACTCTTACTTTCCCATTCCCAGTTCATCATTAGTTTCCCCAGACTGAGACACTGCCTTTGGAGGGCTCTCGTCATCCCTTCCCTATCACATGCAGCATCATTTCTTGAACAGAGGGTAAGAGTGTAGGGACAGAGTCTTCCCTGTTGTGCATGCTCTCTCTCGGGCATCCTCTTAGAGCCTGCTTGAGCCTCCTGCAGCCCTGGATGGGGCCCTGTGGGTGTCTGCATCCTGCTTGTCCACTCTTTTTTCCCTTGACGCTTACTCTGCCAGTGGGTTGTACCCAGGATCTGTCTCCCAGAACTAATAGGTCAAGATCATTTCCTTTCCTTAGTTGTTTCTCCAAATTCTAATTTAGTGGCTGCTGGAATTCAGATTGCAAGTCATTCTTTAATTATGACTTATTATTAGTAGTGATTCCATACAGACTAATGATAGCCCTGCTCAGGATTCAGTGGCGTAAAGTAGAAATGTGTAATAGATGGGAATGGCTCTAACTCTTGGTTGTACCACTTAATAAGTCTCAAAACAAATTCTTGGTCCCTTTCTGTCCCTACCCACTACTGCAAACTCTCCTCCCTCAGATATCCCCATTTCTACAAGTGGTCACTCCATTCTTCAAATCACTCAGGCCCCAAACCAACAAACCATTTTTTATAACCCACATCAAGTCCGTCAGCAGATTTTGACAGCATTGCCTTTGAAAATCCCCAAACCCAACTTTCCCATGACCTTCATCCCTGCTGCAGTTGTCTGCTTGCCTGGCACCTTGCACATAAACTATTAGGTAACCTTCTAGGGTGACCTCCCCTCTTGACCTGCCATGGTCTGTCCACCAGCTAGAGGGCTCTTTTTACCACACAAGACAGATCATGTCACTCTTCTTTGCAAAGCCCCAGAGACTTCTCATCTCCTTCAGTGTAAAAGCCAAAGTCATCACCATAAGGCCATCTGCATCCACTGTGCCCTCAGCTCATGGCCTCACCTCTAGCCACTTGACCTGCTCTGTGCAGATGCACTGGCCTCCTGCTGTTCTCTGAATACACGATGCTGGGCCTATGGACTTGCTGCTCCTTTTACCTGGAATGAATTTCCTTGAAATTGCACATGGCCAGCAGCTTCATTTCATTTGGGTCTTTGTTCAAATGTTACTCCTTCAATGAGAGAGCTCTTTCCTGAATTCCTTGCCTAAAGTCATGCATATTGTTTGCTCATCATTTCCTTTCTTTGTCTTGTTGGTGCTAGGGATTGAATCCAGGGAATGCTAAGCACATGCTCCATCACTGAGTTACACCTCTAGTCCTTGTTGATCACTGTGTCGTCTCTACCTTGACATATCTGTCCTCATAATACTGTACTGCTTGTTTAGTGTTTGTCTCCTCCCAAAAGAATGTAAGCTCCATAAGAGAGTCTTTGTTATTGGTTATATTAGTTCCCAAAGAATGTGCTAACAATGTACCAAAACCTTCGTGGCTTCAGACAACAGACATTTTGTTCACGGCTGTGGAGATTAAAATTCTGTTATCAAGGTGTCCCCAGGGCTTCCTCTGATGGCAAGAGGGGATAATCCCTTCTTGCATCTTCTAGCAACTTTGGTGTTTCTTAATTCAACATGGATGCATCAAGCCACAAGGCCATCCTCTCCTTTTGTGTCTTTATATCTTTGTCCTGCTGTGCATGTTTGTCTCTAGGTCCAAATTTCTTCCTTTTACAAGGATGGCAGTCATGTTGGATTGGTCCACTCTAATGACCTCATTTTAACTTTATTATCTCTGTAGAGACTGTTTCTAAATAAGGTCATATTCTGAGGTATTGGGGAATAGCACTCAACATGGCTTTTTTTTTTTTTGTGGGGAACACAATTCAACTCATGACACTACTGAATCCCCAGACTAGGTAGGCATTGAGTGACTGTGGAGCAAGACAGTGACTCCTAATTACTAGCTGAGTGATCTTAAGCAGATTATTAATGATTCTCAATCTGGCATGTAGCTACTGGTCTAAAAGTGGTATCCTTAATTGATTTTCTACACTAGTATATAGGAAATCGGATAAATGCCTTGTATTTTGTATGGAATTTGATAAAATATAAAAAGCACCAGACACTTAATGTATTCTCAGTATATGGCAGTTGATTTACTAAATGAACTGTTCACTGCCTCTGGTGATGGAAGATAGTTCATCTTCACATATGAATAAAACACTGTGCTGGAGCAAGGTGTGTGTGAAAAAGGTGCACTGAAACTGATATTACAGTATGGGACCATGTGAAGTTGTACCTTCTCCCTGGAGAGCCTTTGACCAAGAGACCAAGCGCAGCATAGGGAGGAAGGAAAATGTTTAGGTGTCTGAGAGTAAGAAGCTGTTGTGTCTTTTGTCAAGAGGGTGCTGATCTGAATGTTGGGAGGATTGGGTGGAATGCCTCAGCTTTGTTCTGTGTAGCATATTTATCAGCAACTTGGAAGGATGTGCTCAGATGGCTTACTTATAAACCTTTCCAGCAATACGAAGTTGGACAGGAAGATGGGCCTACTGGTATTGGAAAAGGACTAAACTATAAATTATAAAATAAAAATATAACAAGAATAAATGTTGGGTCCAGGAAATGTATTATACATGCAAAAACTTAGGATAATGCGTTTTAACATGGAGGTTCCTAACCTTTGATGTGCATCAGAGTTCCTTGAGAGTTTTGAAAGTTAATTTTTAAAATAGAGATGCCAGAATGTATCCAAGACTTTCTGAAGTGGACTGTCTTCTGGTGGTACTTAGCACATACTGACAAAAGTTTAGAACTTCTGGGTTAGTAGGAACATATATAAAAAAGATTAAGGATTTGTTAGGGCCATGGATATGTTGCTGGAAAGCACATACATGTCTAGGATATGGCCAGCATATTACTCTGGGTTAGTTTTTTATGACTATAAACTCCACATTGGCAGGGATTTCTGACTGAGTGCCATTATGTTCCCTGCCACATAATGGATGTGCAATGAATCGTTGCTTTGGAGATATTTATTTGTAAAAGGAAAGGAAAGACCATTGTATACATCTAACTGTTAAGCCTGGAAACTAAAATTTAGAAGGCATAGATAGGAGAGGTGAGTTGTTTCGATTTGAGGAAAATTTGGAAGGGGAATGATACATACTCTTGAAAACTTGCTGGGTGGTCTCCTGGAAGAGGAATTAAATAGATTCTGTTTGTCTCAGATAGACTCATTTGAAGTTGGTACACTTTAAGGGGCTAACCTGAAGGAATTTTCACTAATGTGTTCAGTGATATGAAAATGGAATAGATTGTTTTGTTCATCAGGGAGCCCTTTCTCAGAGGCCAGATGTCCAACTGTCGGTGGATGATGGAGAGACCCCCTTGAATTGTGCAGATTACTGAATGAGGCTACCCAGATGAACTAGATCTTAAAGCATCTGTGATCTTGATCAGCCAAATGGTTTGCCTAATTTTTTTCTCATGTGTTTTTGTGAAGAAATTGATGGTCCAACCAATGTGGTCACTAATCAAGTGACAGAAGACACAGCAGTAGTCTCCTGGAACCCAGTGAAGGCTGACATAGACAAATATGTGGTGCGCTACATCTCCCCTGATGGAGAGACTAAAGAGAGAGCAGTACCCAGGGACCAGAGCAGCACCACCCTGACTGGCCTGAAGCCAGGAGAGACGTATAAAGTCTATGTGTGGGCTGAGAGGGGCAACCAAGGAAGCAAGAAAGCCGACACCAAGGCCCTCACAGGTAATGGAAGAATGGGAGCATGACAGGGGAATTGAATCAGGAAGTCATTGCACTTGACATCAGCTCTTGTGTTTGTAGGGATGGGGGAAATTTGCAAAGGCAATCTTCAGTTTCAATGATTTTTTTCCCTTTTTCTCACCTAAAACTGAAGAGACTAGACTTTTTATTTGAAACAGAAGGTCATTCTTGTTTGGACTGGAATTCCATATGCAACTCTTTCAGAGTAGAGCAACGCTTTCTCATTTTCATTTTTAGAACATGAAAACTCAAAACATCAGACTGGCAGTGAAGTTGAATATGTATCGAAGTTTGTAGTGGCTGTATGGGCACTTTTCATATGATCTGGAGCTCTTTTTCAGACTGTGGAAATAGTTTGCATCCTCTGAGTCAACAGTCCCCAAATGTACTGATTTTTCCTTTACATTTTCAGAAATTTATTCCCTCCATTCATTCTGCTCAGCTTGGGTCTGCAGGGATCACAGCGCAGCCATTCTTTCTGCTTAAACTTCCCATGGTGCTTCCTTGAATTCAGGGTGGCCTGTTCTTGATGCCCACTTGAGGTTCCAAAACACTTGACAGGAAATCACAGGGAAAGGATTCATTTATTATTGGGACACCGAATACGTAGAGAAGCAGGGTGAGAATAGTGAAGAATATGGTTTCAGAAGCTCGGCTGTCCACATTTTAATCCCAGTTCTGCCATTTGCTAGCTGAGTAGCTTTGGGCAAGTTACTTCACCTCCATTCTTGTTTCTTATCTGTAAAGTAGTACACAAGTGTCTCTACATCACAGGGCTTTGGGGAGAGTTACATGAGTTGATTGGTATAAAGTCCTTGACACACAGCAAGTGTGAGAGCAGTGATTATTTCTTAGATGGCAATCTGCATTTGGCCCTTGGAGTATTTTGTGCGCAGCCTCCTGGGTTGCAGTGGGCTTCAGAGAGTTGATCTCTTCTCCAGGCAAGAAGAGAACTTGACAGTGAGAATGATGAGACCTAAATTTGTTGAAAAATTTTTTTTTGCCGCCTGCCTCGCAAGTGTAAGGTCCAGAATTCGATCCCCAGTACCAAAAAAAAAAAAAAAATCCTATAAACGATTAGAGAGTAAACAGTTTTAGCTCTGGGGATCACAAAGCTTTGGTTGCAGCTACTCAGCTCTGCCAAGGAGGCATGAGAATAGCCACAGACAGTAAATGACATGTAAATGAACTGTCATGAGTAGATTCCAATAAAACTTTATTTATAGAGACTCAGAGCGTTGGGTAACAGACTAAGCAAGGTCTTGTCTCCGTCAGTGAATGAATGATCCACTGTGATTCAGGTTTGGCCAGTGGACTACAGAGTGCCACCTCCTGGTATGCATTATATGCAATTCTCTGTTTATTAGGATTTTTTAGCATTGTGCAAAGAAAGAGCATGTGGATCAGAATCTCTAAGACAATGAAGATTGTATTAGAGAAAGAGAAGAATCTTCCTTCTTGCAGGTCCCCTATCCACCCATTAGGGGTGTGCTGTTGCTGCTGGGGGAGGGGTTTGGCATGGAGCTGGCCTCTGGGGGAACAAAGATAAGAAACGTAGTTCATGCCTGTGTTATTATAGTGTTCTCAATCCTCTGGGTAGAGAGGACTAGTGAAAAAATACAAAGTGTACGGAGTTATATTCTAAAGGAAACAAATATTCCTGCAGCTATGGGAACCCAAGGGGAGAAAATGGTGGCAACAAAAGCCTGAGGTGTGAGGGGGTTCATGGCAGGCAGTGGGAGAAGGATTCCGAACAGAGCCTGGAAGGCAGGGTGGGAGTTAACAGTGGAAGCAGTGTGTGCAGAGGCCTCAGGTGTGAGAACATGGCAAGTGAGATAATTGCAAGTGCTTTTTGTGGTGGGGATGTCTGTGAGGTGGCTCAAGAAGGATGGGACTGGAGCATTAAAGCCAACTCAGCCTCAGGAGCCAAGTCTTTCGCCCCTGCATCGGAGATGTCTACAGTGCAGTCTGCACTCTGATCCCTTAGGGCGTTTGTCTCACTTGGCTGTGTACTCCACCAAGCTGGCCCACCGTGCTTGGCAGACGATGGTGTGAAGGTCTGAAGTGCAGTTGCTTTCCCAGAAAGCACAGTTTTTTGAGGAGTTGGTCTTTGAAACAGGGCAATAAAGACATATCATTTTCTAACCATATACTAAATGAGTTGGATTTTTTTACTCTCTCAAAGGGTTTATGCATTGAGAATAAAGTGTCATTACATATGTCAGATGCCATTATACTAACAACTAGTATAAACATTTACAATGCACTATCTCCTTTAGTATTCATCATAGCCTATGATAGGGAGAAATACTTCCTTCTTTGTAGAAGTGAGGAAAGAGAATTAAATTACATAACTTGCCCCATGTGAGCAACCAATAAATGGTAGAGAGCAGGTTCTAACCTAGTTAAGTCACATAGAAACCTAGAGTTCACAAGTAGGACTATTTTACTCAGTCCAGATCTCAGATAACATCAATTTAAAACTCTTCCTGGATCTCTAGCCACAGACATAATGTTTTATATGGAAAGACCTGACAGCTCCTACTCACAGGGTATTTTCCTCACAGAAGAAATATGAGTTGTGTCCAAAACATACACTAACCAACATACATTTAACTTTAGAAACAAAATTATTATAGTAAAAGACCATTGCCATTGATACCCCCCCCAAACATACTTATCCTATCATTCTTGCCACTTTGTTAAGCAGCTATGGAAGTCTTCTTTCTTGAGGCTTTTAGTTGTACTCTTGTGGCTGCCTCAGTGTCCTGAATTTGTTTAAAACATTTACTTTTCATGGTCATTTGGAGAAGGGCTGGAAGTCACCTAGTGCCAGATCCAGTGAATGAGGTGGATAAGGACATACTGTAATTTTTTTTGCCATACTGGAAGTGAAATGTGATATCGAGTATTGTTGTGATGGAGGATGAAACCATTTGTCCATTTCTCAGGCTGTTTTTCTATACACATTGTTTCTTATATACTCTAATAACCCCTTATAATATTCAGAGTTTACTGTATTGTCACTGGGTACAAACTCAGCTCACACAATTCCATCATGGCCAGAAAACAATCAGCATCACCTTGAAGTTGGATCTTGATTGATGAGCTTTTTTCACACAGGAACTGGATGAGTTTCATTAGGAACTCTGAATCTTGGGCTCAGGATCATAATCGTACAGACAAGTTTCATTTCCCATGATGACATTTCTTAAAAAACTGGAATCTGAAGTGGCAGAATGGTGCAAACTCAATGAAATTGACAAAATTTCATGATAATGCTTTGCTTGTAATTCATGATTTATGGCAAACTTTAAAACATACCTTCTTTCAACTGTAGCTCACAGCTGATTGACTGTAATGAACAAGTGGAAGCTTGTCACCCACTAAAGTTTGAAGTGCTACTTCTCATATTGAAGATCCCTGTCTTTTGGTTGGATGGCACTAAACAGTGTTTTTACTTTTTAAAAAATCACACCTCAAATTAGAGCAAATGCAGAGATTTATTGAAAAATAATTGTTTTGAGGTCCAAGGAGTTAGGACGCGAATGAAAGAATGTTATGTAAATGGTGGGTAAAGGAGAAATTTTTATGTGAAGATCAATTGTTTTTTTATCCAAAAGCAACTTGTAGGAAAAGTTTATAGAGTTTCTGTGTGTTAGCTTGATCTAAAAACTACTTCTCATTAAATGCTAATAGACCATTCTTAGAATTTCTGACCTTTGCTTAATTAAACCTATAATTTGTCTCAATCATTGGCATATAGCAGACTGAAATTTATCGAGGTCATCATTTTGGCTGTCTCTGTGCTGGCTTTTTAGAAACTCAAGGTTGGTAAAAGCTACCTTCCTCTTTTGTATCTTTCTTAAAGAAATTGATAGCCCAGCAAACCTGGTAACTGATCGGGTAACAGAAAATACACTCACTGTCTCCTGGGACCCAGTGGAGGCTGAAATTGACAGGTATGTGGTAAGCTACACCTCTGCTGATGGAGAGACCAGGGAGATTCCAGTGGCTAAGGAGCAGACCAGCACTGACCTCATCGGCCTGAGCCCAGGTGTGGAGTACAAAGTCTACGTGTGGGCCCAGAAGGGGGACAGGGAGAGCAAGAAGGCCAACACCCAGGCCCCTACAGGTAACTAGAGAGAGATAGTCAATTGGAATTGAAGTTTGAACATGTGGATTGAAATGTACATAATACCAAAGATTTGGCCTGAGATGAGAGATTCTACCATTAGAATCTCAGAGATGCAAGGCTGGCAGTGAGCTTGAGATATGTTGTCTGTGTGCCGCTCTGGTCTGATAGTGATTAGGTTCATGAAACGACTTGGCCACCAGAAGGGAGAAGTAGAGTTGTATAGTAGAAATGTTTTTAGCATATACATCCAAGACATGTATGGGTTCTGGTTATTGAAGTGTTTGTGATAATACTTTTAAAGTACTCAACAGTGAAGTAGCCCTTGATAAAATGATAAATTAGGTATCCCAATGTCATGTCAGATTTTTAATGAGCAGTCTTGATAACCCATATGCTACTAAGAAGACATTGTTCCTCCCACATTTTAGGGAGCTAAAAGCCAAGAAAGGGTTCCAAGTTTGTAACAATTCCTCCTTTGAAATTGAGAACCAGGGGCTACTTTTTCCCTTGACTTCTACAAGAGACCCAGGGTGGGAATCCCTTTGCTTTGTTCTGAGAACTCTGAAAGATGAAAATGAGGATAATAAGGTGGTGGGTGTGCATTCCATAGCTTCTGAGCTAAGACTTTTCCCAACATATTTCTTTCAGACATTGACAGTCCTAAAAATCTGGTGACTGACAAGGTGACAGAAAATATGGTCACTGTCTCCTGGGACCCTGTGCAGGCCCCCATCGATAGGTATGTGGTGAGCTATACCTCTGCTGATGGAGTGACCAAGGAGATTCCAGTAGGGAAGGATCAGAGGAGCACTGTTCTGACAGGTCTGAAGCCAGGGATGGAGTATAAATTTCATGTGTGGGCCCAGAAGGGGACCCAGGAAAGCAGGAAGGCTGACACCAAGGCCCCTACAGGTAATGGAGCATGTGTTATCAGTGTATCATTGCTAAACCCATGGTCTAAGTTGATTTTCCTTCTTGTCAGACAGGGAGATTTCATGGATTAGAGGTTGGTACCTCTCACTTCCTTTATGACTTTTCCTAGAGTATGCCTCATGCTGTGGTCTCCAAGCCTTGATTTTAAAGATTGATGGTTTTTGCTTTTGGCCTTTTATTCTTTGGCTCTTTGCTATTAAAATAATAAATTCTTTACCTTGGAAAAGAATAAATATGAAGAAAGCATAAGCAAATGTCATGCTGAGAAAGCCAGGCTTGAGGATTATGATCCAAAACCAACTTTTTAAACCTTTCATCTGTTTAAACCCTTTCCACGATGTTTTTACCTTTTGGATGAATGTTTTAGGCAAAAATCACTTTAGTGTTTTTTGTTAGCTAAAGGAAAGCAAATATAGGGTCCCCCCAAATGTCTACTTTTTAGTGATGTCTATTTCCATGTAACAGTCCATCCTTTATTTACAGTTGGCCATTTGCCTGCTGACTACCTACTGTGAGAGGAGGGATGGTGCAGCTTGTCTTATGTTTTCCTGCTTGTACTTCGAGCACTATTCTTCCAGTTTGCAAAATACAATTTCTGACCCATTTGTGTTTGGCACAGCTGGGAGACGTAAGCTGAGGAGAGGTCAAAGGTCAGGAAGAATAGATGTGAACATGAGGAAGAGGAGGAGAAGCCACAGGTCAGGAGGAGAGAGTTGAACGATCGTATTAGTCAACTTTCCTGTTGCTGGAATAAACTACCTGACACTTGTAACTTGAAGGAATAAAGGTTTATTTTTGCTTACAGTTTCGGAGATTTAAATCCATAGTTGGCCACTTCTGAGGTAGAAACAGCATGGTGGATGGAGGAGGAAAGCTGCTTACCCATGGCAGCCAGGAAGCAGAGAGGACAGGAAGGGCCAGGGACAAGAATACATCTTTCCAGGTCATCCCCCAGGGATCTGTCCATTCTGACCTCTAAACATGAGACTTTTGGGGGGTCATTTTCTATATAAATCTTAACATTCCACCCTGGCCTCCCCAAAAGCTCATGTCTATCTCATTATGTAAAATACATTTATCCCATCTCTAAAAGTTAACAAAGTCTTCACAGTTTCAGCATTGCTGAAAAGTCTTAAGTCTCCTCTGAGACTCAAGGCAAACTCTTAGCTGTGATTCCCATTAAGAGATAAAAAAGAAAAACACTTCTAAGATACAGTGGCACAAAGTAGACATTCCCATTCCAAAGATGAGGAATAGGGGGAATAAAGTAGAATCAAACCAAAATAAACCCAGCAGGGCAAACATTAAATCCTCTAGCTCCATGGTCATCAACTGAGACAAGTTATGGTGAGGTGAGCTTCAAAGGGCTAGGGCAGCCCTGTCCCAAGGCCTTGCTGTTTGCAGCCCACATAGCCTCTCCCTTGGTCTGGCTCTGTTCACTGCATGCAGCTTTCCTCAGCAGATGATTCATGTTCCTGGCATTTCCAACATCTTGCGGTCACTATTGCACCTTCAGTGTCACTCTCATAGCTTTCAGGGACACAATGGCTAGCCTCTCAAACCTTCCTTTGAAATCTGGGTGGAAACTTCCATGACCCCACAATCCTTGCATTCTGCATGACCAGAAAACCAACAGCACATGGATGATACCAAAGTCTGCTGGGAGCTCAAGAAGTAATCTGGCCCCCTGTGACCATGGCTGCAGCGGCCTGAGTGCTTAGATAGGTGAATGCAGGGATGCACTTCTTTAGGCATCCATGAATGAGCAGAGCATCCTGGGACTTTCTTCTCAAAGCAAGGACTTTGAAAGGAGCTTGCCCTTTTACATTGTTGAGCGTTTGAATGATGAGGTCTGGCCAATTACTGAGATGCCTTTAAGCCATCTTTCCTATGGTCCTAATAGAAAGTACTTGGCTTCTTTTTAATGCTGATCTTCTCACCAACCATACTCTCCTTGACCCAAACTTTGCAGGTGCTTCCTTTCTGATGAATCTGCAAAATTTTCAAATCATTGAGCTCTGCTTTTTGTTTGATTCTTACTATAAATCTTGCTAAAAGGAGCTGTCAGTACCCATGCCATAATCTTGAATGTTGAGCTGCCTTGACATTTTCTCTGCTAGATCAGTTAGTCCACTGCCCTTAATCTCAGTCTTCCTTGAAGTGTTAAAACATGGGGAAAATTAAGGTACAGTTTTTTTCCAGAGGATAACAGTGGAATCCTTGTTTCCAACTGAAACCTCCTGATCCTGGCCTTTGCTGTCTACATTCCTATGAGCATTTTGGTCTTCTGAGATCTGACCAGAATCATCCATTAGGCTCTACTTACATCATTCTAGGGCTTCTTTAGCCTGCATCTGCAAAGCTTACCAAACTCCTGCAGATCAGTTCAATAGGCTTGTAAGCCACATGGTCAGGTACCATGTACAACACTGACCTGACTCCTAGTAGTAGTTTTCTATCTTAGTTACTTTTCCATCACAGGGACAAAATACTTGACACCCACAACTTAAAGGAAGAGGGTTTATTTTGGCTCATAGTTCTACAGGTTTCAGTCCATGGTCAGTTGGCTCTGAGGCTAATAGAGGAGAGCTGCTCACCTCATGGCAGCCAGGAGGGGAGGGAGGGGAGAGGGAGAGAAAGAAGAAGAAGAAGAAGAGGAAGAGGAGAAGGAATAAGGAGAGAGGAGAGAGAAGGGGAAGGAGGAAGAGGAAGAGAAAAGAAGGGAGCTAGGAACCCAGGAATAAGAATATACCTTTCCAGGTCATTCCCACAGGCTCCTTCTGACCAGACCCCACCTCTGAACCCATGAGGTTTTGGGAATCATTTTAGGTTTAGACCATAACAGGGATTATGAGGGAAGAGAGGCCAGGGTTTGAGGAAGATCATGGAAGCCAAATAATAATGACGGCTGCTTTGGGCCTGCTGTGGGGTCTTATAAGTATTAAAGCTAACTCTCATGGAGCACTTTTGTGCTTGCCTTTCTCTGGGGGTCTGTCACTGTAATGATGCTGTGGACAAAGTCTTGTCTCCTCTGGTCTCTTGTTCCCCTTCTTCCATGCATACATGGGGAGGGCATCTACCCCAACACTTTTGATGGAGTCATCTTGCTTCTCTAGATGCCCCCCTGGGACAGCTTCTAGCACAACCCCAAGCAAGCCCTCCTCTGCTTGGCCAAAATGGTCCATGTGGAACACATATGTACCTTTACTTATTCAACTGAATATATAGGTCTTTTGCCATGCAACCACCTCCTTTTCTTTTTTTTCTGCATCAAAACAGCCCGCAGTTCTCTCAAACCGTAGATATTTTAGGGATGTATCACCCTAAAATGGACACTGGCTCAGGTGTTCCCCAAGCTTTAGAAAGGAATTTTCAACCTTGGCCCTATTGACACTTTAAACTGGATAATTTTCTGTTTGCATGGAGTTTTATTCTGCATTGTAGGATGTTTAACAGCATCCCTGGTGTCTAGCTATTAAATACCAATAGTCTCCCCATCTTATACTGAACTTTGACAACAAAAATGTCTTCAGACATTGCTAATCACACCTATTGAGATCTCTTGCTCTACAAACTATGATAATCTCCATGAGGGACCACATTGAAACTGTGTATGTAGGGTTTGGATCCTGCTTATGGGACCAACCATGTAACTCTTTCCAGGTAATTCTTCATGCTGACCTTATTGGCCTCTCCACCCTCTTTTGTGGGCTGGAGGTAGTTGCTCAGTCAGGGTTATGAGACTGTTGGCCCTGCCTTGGCTGGGACCCTCAGATTGTAATTGGATATCTATTTTCTTGAAGTCACAGCCTAAACCAATATTTGTAATAGGACCTATGAGCAAATGACTTTAGGAAAATGACTTTTGCAATGAACTATTTAGAAAAAAGAATGGTACTGTTTTCTTGGTAAAATACATTTTTGAGCAATCTTCCTTGTGTGTGGTAGGTAGGGGCCTAATGCCATGCATTTATAAAGTATTGACAAATTGATATCACTAATAATGATAGTTCACAGTTACTAGTCAGTGCTAAGAACAGTCATAAGAGACACACTATTAGCTTATATAGTACAATAATACTACAAGATATGAAGGAATAATATCTCATCCTACACCCTTTATTTTTATTTTTCCCTGTGGAGGAAATTGATGCAAAGAGGCTAGTTTATGCTTGATTACAGTTTGAATTATGGAGTGAATATTCCATGGCTTTAGAACTGTGAATGCTGTTAGACTTTAACATTTTCAAAGCCCCTTTTCTGTGTGACATTTTAAAATCTTGATTTCTGGAGCTAACTAGAGAACTATATACCATAACTATTAAACAATCCATTTTACAAATATAGAAGTAAACTGAAGCAATTTGCACTAGGTCATAAAACAAGTTAGTAATTTGTGAAAGTAGATACATGCTTGGAATATTAGAATCAACCTAAAAGTCTATTTAACTGCAGATTTTAGAAAGGAAGAAGCAGCCAGGGATTTAGCTCAGTGGTTCTGCCACCTGCCTTGCAAGTACAAGGTCCCGAGTTCGATCCCTGGTACAGAAAAAGAAAGGAAGAAGCTGAGACACAGACACAGGCAGCCATATGGTCCAAGGCCATAGCTGGCTGATGGCAGAGCTGGGATAAGACCCTTTGTCTGGTGGCTGCAGCTCGAGGGGCTTCCTGCCCCCAAGATCTGCCTCTTGGCATAGACCTAGAACCCAACTACCCTAACTGTAGATGTAATACTCACTCCACTGCCCTGTGGTGCTTCCTTGGGATCCAAGAACCTAGCTGGGGAGATAAGGTCTGTATCTATGAAACAACTAAAAACTAAGGAGATGAGATGAATACAAGTGCAAGAACATGTCTCACTTCAAGAAAAATGGTCTTACTCTTCGGTGCCTGTTGATGGTTTATACTGATCAGCACTTTTTCTTTTAGACATTGACAGCCCCAAAAACCTGGTGACTGACCAGGTGACAGAAAATACTGCCACTGTCTCTTGGGACCCAGTAGAGGCCGACATTGACAGGTATATGGTGCGCTACACCTCTGCTGATGGAGAGACCAAGGAGGTTCCAGTGAGGAAGGACCAGAGGAGCACCATCCTGAGAGGCCTGAGGCCAGGTGTGGAGTACAAGGTGGACGTGTGGGCCCAGAAGGGGGCCCGGGAGAGCAGGAAGGCCAACACCAAGGCCCCCACAGGTAATGGATGTTGTTCTGTGGGAATGTGACACCTTTTATGCTAAGGCTATAATAGCTCAAGTTTGGTATTTCTTCTGTGACATTGGTAGAAATCAATGGGTTACAATACCAGGATGGTAGACCTTTGTCATACTACTCACACTATCCCTCAATATCCTTTAACACATTATCCCAAAATGTGGACTTCATACTTAAGTCTTATAAAATTATCAGTGATCTATTCCCTGATCCTCCAATTGTGTATTTCCTTTGTGGTCAACCTCAAAAAAAATTTTTTTTTGGTACTGAGGATTGAGCTTGGGTCCTTGTGCTTGCACGGCAGGCGGTGAAACCACTGAGCTAAATCCCCAGCCCTAAAACATTTCTTTTTGAAAAGGAACATATGAAAAGAAACCACATATGTAAGGATTTGTGACCTAACTCCTCTGGGGAAATGGCTTTTGCTGTGATTTCTTTGGAAAAAGAAGAGTGATTGCTCTCTGAAGGAGCGAGTCCTCTTCTGAGTTCCATGGATTTCTCTCTGAGGATCCTATGGTTGCAGTGATACTCAGTAACAGCTTGCAGTTTTAAAGCTTTTTCATTTCTGTTCCTCAGCTGTTGAAAACAACCTTAAGATGTTTTACACACTTAAAATTCACCCTCTTTAATGTAAAATTCAGTGTATATTCTCCTAGTTCTACAACTACTTTTTTTTTTTTTGTACCGAGGATCGAACTCCGGTCCCTGCGCTTGCGGTGCAGGTGTTGAGTTCTACAACTATTAACAGTGTAGATTTCAGAGCATTTTCATCATCCAGAGGAATCTCATATCCATTACCAGTCATTCATCACCTGCATGCCCTCCAGCCCTATGTAACGACTGTTCTCCATCTCTATAGATTTCTCTATTCAGAACATTTCACATGTATGGATTCATACAAGATGTGGCCTTTTGTTTCTTTCGTGAAGCATAATATTTCCTAGGTTCATCCACGTTTTAGCACATACCAGTTTTTAATTTTGTTGTGAATTAATATTTTATTGTATGGATATTTACATCCATTCAACACTTATTGGACATTTGAAGTGTTTCTAATTTTTGGCTATTGTTAATAAAGACACTATGAGCAGTTGTGTGCACATGCATCTCATTTCTCTTAAGTATATGCCTATGAGTAGAATTATTAGATCATTTAGTAATTCAATCTCTAATTTTTGAAGCACTAACAATTTTTAAAGTGGTTGTATCATTTTACATTTCCACCAGAAATGAGCAAGGGTTATCTTCTTCATTTGCTTGGTCATCAGAAGAATTTGTTGAATTGGTGGAACAGGAATGAATATCACCATTTTGCAGTTGAGAATCCTCAAATATGGTGAAGTGTATGATTTCCCAAAATCACATAGTTAGCTGATGATTAATGGAGTTTGATTCATGAAATATTATGGTATATCTAATTCTATTCAGTCTAAGGCCCATGTACATAGCTGGGAAGACAGGTTCCATCAGAGCCAGCCAAGTTGTCTAAGGCTGAAGGCGGCTGGTGGCAGAGTTGGGATAAGATCTCTGGTCTGCTAGCTGTAAGCCAGTTGGCCTGGGCTTAGAGCTCAGCCTGTCTAACTGTGGATGTGATGCTTAGCCAGAATGTGATCCTGGCCTGCCTCCTGGAGGATCGAAGCATCTGCTTTGAAGACAAAGTCTGTGTCTAAAAAGCAACCGAAAACCAACATGTGAGAGGCAAAAACTATATGTGCAGGAAACTGTCTCAGTGACAGCAAAATAGCCCCACTCTTGGAGCCTGTTAATAGTGTTTATTGATCAACACTTTTTCTTTTAGACATTGACAGCCCCAAAAACCTGGTGACTGACCAGGTGACAGAGAACACTGCCACTGTCTCCTGGGACCCAGTAGAGGCCGACATTGACAGGTATGTGGTGCGCTACACCTCTGCCGACGGAGAGACCAGGGAATTTCTGGTGGGGAAGGACCAGAGCAGCACCGTCCTGACAGGCCTGAGGCCAGGTGTGGAGTACGAGGTGGACGTGTGGGCCCAGAAGGGGGCCCGGGAGAGCAGGAAGGCCAACTCCAAGGCCCCCACAGGTAATGGACATTGTTCTGTGGGAATGTGACACCTGTCTTGCTAAGTCTGTGGAAGACTGAGTTTGGTGTTCCTTTTCTGAGATTGGCAGAAATCAGTGATTAGTAGAAGACCAGGCTGTCATACTTCTCTCACTGTCCTTTGGTACCTTTACTATGTAATAAGGCCCTTATATCAGCCTCACTATTTAGTCTCCTCTGATTAATGGTGATTGGCGACACCCACCCAGTGTTTCTCCAATTTTGTTTTCTTTGTGGTCAGTCTCAAAATATTTCCCTTTAAATGGAAGAGATATTCATGTTGGGATCTGTGAACTATATAATTTAGGGAGATGCCTTTTACTGGGATCTGTTTGGAACAAGAAGGGGTTGTTGCTGTCTTCGTGAATAATCTTCTTTTGAGTCCTATGTGTTTACTCTGAGGATCCTATGGTTGCCCTGATAGATAGTAACAGTTCACAGTTTTAAAGGTTTTCATTTTTCTTTCCTCCTTTGTTAGGAAAAAGCCTCATCAAGATGTATCTATCTATAAAATAAAAAAAACTGTAAAATCTATCCTCTTAAAGTTTGCAGTTCATTGGTTTTAGATTAGTCACAGAGGTGTACAGTTCAATTACCAGTCATTCCTCACCCATGCTCCTTCTAGCCCAAAGTAACAACTGCTGTCTGTCACTATAGATTCCCCCATCCTGGAAATTTAACATATAGAGATTTAAAGATGCCTTTGTAACTGGCTTCTTTCAAAAAATATAATATTTCCGGGTCATCCATGTTGAAGCTGATGTCAATACTTAATTTTATTGTATATGAATATTCCATTGCATGGCTATATCATATTTTCTTTAGCAACTTATCAGTTGTTGCACTTTTTATTTATTTACTTATTTATTAGCTATTGTGAATGATGATGCTGGGGCATTTGTGGGTTTCGTTTTGTTTTGCTGTATGGAGGATGGAACTCAGCACCTGGCACATGCCACACAAGTGCTCTACCACAGAGCTGTACTCTCACCCCTAATATGTACAAGTTTTTGGATGCATATACATCTTCATTTCTCTAAGATATATACCTAAAAGTAGAGTTATTGATTCATTTGTTAATTAACTTTAACTTAGGAGGAATTGCCAGAATGTATCCATTGTGGTAATACCACATACCTACCAGCAATGAATGAGGACTGTTTTCTTCCATTACTTGGTCTCCTGATAAATTTGTTGAATCAGTAGAGCAGGAATCAGTATCCCCATTTTGCAGTAGAGAATCTTCAAATACAATGAAGTGTATAATTTCTACAAGTTACTGATGTAGGCGATGATTCTTGGGGTTTGAGTCATGAAGTCTTTGTGAAATATTATGGTGCTTTAAAATCTATCTAGTCTAAGGCCACATTCACGGATGGAAAGCTGAGGTCCAGTCAGAGGCACAAGTTGTTCCAGGCCATAGCTGGCTGATGGCAGAGTTCGGATAAGATCTATAATCTGCTGACTGTAGCCCAAGGAGGTTCCTGTCTCGCAGCTCTGGCTCTTGGTTGGGCCTACAACTCAGCTCCTCTAGCTGTGAACCTGATGCTCATCCAGAATGTGGCCCTGGGCTGGCTCCTTGAAGACCCAAGAGCCCACCTGGAGAGACAAGGTCTATTTCCATTAAACTACAAAAAGCCAAAATTTGAGATGAGAAAACTACAAGCAGAAAGAAAATGTCTCAGCTCAAGCAAAATGGTCTTACTCTTTGGTGCCTGTTGATGGTTTGTATTTATAAGCACTTTTCCTTTTAGATATTGACAGCCCCCAAAACCTGGTGACAGACCAAGTAACAGAGAACACTGCCACTGTCTCCTGGGACCCAGTGGAGGCTGAGATTGATAGGTATGTGGTGCGCTACACCTCTGCTGATGGAGAGACCAGGGAGATTCCTGTGAGGAAAGAGCAGAGGAGCACCGTCCTGACAGGCCTGAGGCCAGGTGTGGAGTACAAGGTGGACGTGTGGGCCCGGAAGGGGACCCAGGAGAGCAGGAAGGCCAACACCAAGGCCCCCACAGGTAATGGGCATTGTTTTTGGTCTGGCTGAGCCTACAGTAAAGCATTATCATACCACTCACACCGTTCCTCAACACCTTCAATATGAAATAAGGATATCAGCCTCACTCTTTAGTCTCCTAAGATTAATGGTGATTGGTCACACCCTTCCAGTGTCTCCAATTTTGTATTTCCTTTGTGTTCAGTCTCAAAATATTTCCCTTTAAATGGAAGAGACACAAAGGAAAGGGCTGGGGATTTAGCTCAGTGGTTCCGTTGCCTGCCCCGTAAGCACAAGAACCCGAGTTTGATCCTCGGTACCAAAAATAACCCAAAAAACGAACCATATTCATGTTGGGATCTACGAACTATGATGTACTTTAGGAAAATGTCTTTTACAATAATCTGTTTGGGAAAAAAAGGGGTTGTTGCTTTCTTAGTCTGTTTCGTTCTGAGAATCTTATGGTTGCAATGATATACAGTAACAGTTTATAGTTTTAAATTTTTCATTTTTCTTTCCTCCTTTGTTAGGGACAGGCTTATCTGTATGTTATCTACATACATCTCAATAATCCACCCTTTTACAGTTTACATCAGCAGCTTTGGTATAATCACAGAGGTGTACAATTATTACCACTATCAATTTCAGGACATTTTATCACCATAAGAAACATCCTGTTCAATACCAGATGAATAGCTCATCCTTGCTCCCTCCAGCTTTAGGTAACAGCTGCTGTCTGTTTCTATATATTTTCCTGTTCTGGATATTTAATATATAGAGATTTATACCATGTATCAACCTTGTGCCTGGCTTCTTTCAAGAAGTGTAATATTTTCCAGGTTCATCCATGTTGTAACTTATATCAGTACTTAATTTTATTGAAAATTAATATTTCAGTGTATGGATGTGCCACATTTTATTTATCAGTTCATCAGTTTTTGGACAGTTGAGTTGTTTCCACTCTTTTGCTCTTATTAGAAATTATGCTGTGAACATTTTTATACCAGTTTTTGTGTGGACATATTTGCTTATGAGTGGAATTACTAGATCATGTGATGGTTCGTTCTTTTTTTTTTTGCCGGTAACAGGAATCAAACGCAGGACCTTGAGCTGGCTTGCCAGGCAGGCGAAGCACTGCTGAGCTACATCCTCAGCCCCGGCCCTTGATCTTTAATCTCTGAGGAATTGCCAGATTGTTTTCATTCTGGTTATACCATTTTACGTGCCTACTAGCAGTGAATGAGGATTGTTCTCTTTACTTACTTGGCTCCTAGATAAACTTGTTGAATCAGTAGAGCAGGAATCAGTATCTCCATTTTGCAATTAAGAATCCTGCAATACAGTGAGGTGCATGATTTCTACAAGTCGCACATTTAGCTGACGTTTCATGATGTTGGGTCCATGAAATATTCATGGAATAATTTGTCACCTTAACATTACCTAAGTCTAAGGACCACATTCATAGATGGGAAAAATAAGGTATAGTCAGAGGCAGCTGAGTCGTTCAAGGTCACAGGTCGCTAATGGCAGATCTGGGATAAGATCTCTGGTCTGCTTGCTCCAAACTAGGGGGCTTCTTGCTCCCAAGATCTGCCTCTGGGCCTGAGCCTAGACCTCAGCCTCTCTGACTGTGGATGTGATGCTCATCCAGGATGTGGTCCTGTGCTCCCTCTTTGAAGATACAGGAATCCACTGTGGAGATAAGGTCTATGTCCATGAAATAAATGAGAACCAATATACGAGATGTAAAAAACTATCTTGGCTCAAGCTTAATGGTTTCAGTGGTTGGTACTTGGTGGTGGTTTATACTGATCAGCACTTTTCCTTTTAGACATTGACAGCCCCAAAAACCTGGTGACTGACCAGGTGACAGAGAACACTGCCACTGTGTCCTGGGACCCAGTGAAGGCCGACATTGACAGGTATGTGGTGCGCTACACCTCTGCTGACGGAGAGACCAAGGAGTTTCTGTTGGGGAAGGACCAGAGCAGCACCGTCCTGACAGGCCTGAGGCCAGGTGTGGAGTACAAGGTGGACGTGTGGGCCCAGAAGGGGGCCCGGGAGAGCAGGAAGGCCAACACCAAGGCCCCCACAGGTAATGGATGTTGTTCTGTGGGAATGTGACACCTGTCATACTAAGCCTAAGGGAGGTCAAAACCTGTTTTCCTCCCGTGACATGGGCAGACGTCTATGGTATATGTACCAGCAGGATGGTATTCCTTCATTATCAATTAAACATAGCATTCCTCTCTTCCCTTTACCTGGTTTCCTTAGTGCATAGTCAGAGCCTCATACACTCTCTAAACTGCTTTTGGATAGTTGTAGTTATCAAATCCTCTTTTAAGTGTTTGGATCCTTTGCTGGAGACAATGTTGATGGTCTCTTAGTGCATTTGGGAGTGGGAACAAAAGCTGAAAATTATTATTAGTAATGGTATCTTAGTGATTTGACTTTAAAATATAGATTTGACATCTATAGCAAGTAGATGTATGTGATTTGCTTTAGTATGAATTAATCATAATTTACAAAACTTATTTGTGACTCTAAATAATGATAAGTTCTACAGATAATACCCACATGGTATTGGTGTAGGGAATAACGAAGCAGGGATGTTCCTTAGATTGTATGGGGTAAGTAGTAATTGACAGAAACACTCAAATTGCAGCAAGAGAGACATTTATTCTTCTCTGTAGAATGGCACAGTATAAGTGGACCAGAGTTCTAAGGGTTAGGATAATGTTTGTATTACATTCATATCTTCTTATTGTGAAAGAGATGTATGACCATATTTTGTACATTGTTTTAATCAGCAAACCAGCATGGCAAGTGAATCCATGTATGCTGAAGACTATTAAAAAAGGATTTTAATTTTTGCTGATTTACTTAACACTACGTAATATACACGTTTCATAAGTCCCATCCTCTTCTATGTTCTGGGAGCACAGAGGGTAGTGGGATGCAACCCTATTCTTCCGAGAGCTTATATTTGGATTTGTTTTAGAATTTTAAAAAATGAAATGGGAGGTCTTCACTGCCATGAGAATAGATAGAAAATTGTTACCTCCCTGTAAGCAGAGCCCAGGTCTTCTTCAACTCTGAAAGCTTTATGCTGTCTAGAGCATGCCTTATACAGAGTGAGGGCTCTATATACCTTACTAAACAAATAAAGAGATTTATTTCGTTAAAATTTTGGCAAAGGTAATAGCCCAGATCTTCAAATTCTGGTCAATTGTGTTTTATACTTGAGACAAGTATGTCTGGGGAGAGGTTTATTTCCATGAAACAGCTAAAAAACAAGAAAAGAGCATATGAAATGGAAAACCCCCAAAACATGAAGACTCTCATCCTGGGCAACATGGCTACCAGTTTCTGCACCGCTGGGCCTGTCTGTAGCACATATTAATTAGTACTTTTCCTTTTAGACATTGACAGCCCCAAAAACCTGGTAACCAACCAGGTGACAGAGAACACAGCCACTGTCTCCTGGGACCCGGTGCAGGCTGACATTGACAGGTATGTGGTGCGCTACACCTCTGCCGATGGAGAAACCAGGGAGATTCCTGTGAGGAAGGGGAAGACCAGCACCGTCCTGACTGGCCTGAGGCCCGGGGTTGACTACACCATCCATGTGTGGGCCCAGAAGGGCACCCGGGAGAGCAAGAAGGCCAACACCAAGGCCCCCACAGGTAATGGATGTTCTTTGGGAATGTGATGCCTGCCATGCTAAATCTATGGGAAGTCAGGTTTTGTTTTTCTTTTCTTAATTTATCAGGTAACAGGAGGGGAGAGAAGCTGGAGTAATTAATGCAGATCGATCCATTGCTGCTGAATGATGGCGCAGCTGCTTTTGGGATCTGTGATCTCAGGGACTGTGGGCTGCTTTAGGAGAGTGTCCATTTTATGCTATAACCGAATACCACAGATTATGTAAATGATAAACAGCACAAGTTTAGCTCACACTTTTGCAGGCTGAGAAGTTCAGGGGCACAGTGCTGCTTCCGGTGAGGGCCTTCATGCTGCTTATAAGGTGGAAGAAGGGCCAGTGAAGGCACATGAGACAGAGAGAGAGGGCAAGAGGGTACTGATGTTAAATCCATTCCCATGATAAGTAGCCCATTCTTGTGATAATGGCATTAATGCATCCAAGAGGGCAGAGCCCTCAAGTCTCAGTGATCTCTCAAAGATCTCACTTCTGATTACTGTTCCAGCGGCAATTAAATTTCATCATGGGGGGCCGGGGATTTAGCTCAGTGGTTCCGGCACCTGCCTCGCAAGTGCAAGGTCCCAAGTTCAATCCCCGGCACAAAAAACAAAACAAAACAAAAACAAAATTTCATCATGAGTTTTGAAGTCAGACACTCAACTCATAGCTGACAGTTTACTATAATAAAACCCTTTCTTTTACCTAAAAAAAGAACAAAGCATAGTAGTAGACTCTGCTGAGTGGTCCTACTAATGTCTTGAAACTCTTTCTTAAGCTTTGTGCCTCTCGGCAATAGAAAATTATACTGAATAATGTGAAACCCATATAAAATTCCTTAAACTACAAAATGAAAGAACTGTTTTGTGGCAGGTTATTTTAGGTGGGCTTGACTCAATAGATACTGTGTGATATAAAGTTTCAAATATTAACCTGTGAAGCTGGAGCCCTGTGTTCAGCATGCTGCTAACGTTTAATAAACATCTGCTAAGTGCTAGGCCTGGGGATACAGTGGTAAACAAAACAAATGCGATCTCTAGTCTCTTAAAGTCCAGTGGGAGAGATATATGAAAACATATTTATAAGTATCAATTCTGATAAGTTATATGAAAGAGATAACAGTGGTATAGGCATAGAGAATGACAGGTAAGGATCGTTCTGAAATGCAGTGAATAGTAATAGGATACACATTGAAAGAGACACCCAGATGAGAATGATTTAAACAAGAAAGGAATTTATTCATCCCCGTAGAATGATAGAGGATGAGTGAGCCAGGGTTGACAGGGTAGCTCCTCTGTACAAGAGACCCAGTCTCCTTGTTTTGTTTTGTTTTTCCCTCTCACTCATCCCTAGAAGTTGCCTTTATTTACATGGTAACAGCCCATCTGCATTCTAGCTGGTGGGCAGGGGCACGGGAAAGGGCAGGACATGACTGGAATATTGCAGACACCCCTTCTTCTCACACTTCACTGTCTAATCTAAGACATGATGCCAGACTTCCTTACAAAGAGGCTGGAAATGAGATCTTCAGCCGGTTGGCCATGAGGCCAGGTTCAACTTCTGTTTCACTGTCGTATGAAATTAAATAGCCATGTGTAGCTAGTGTGACTCTTTGAGTTTTAATTAATTAAAATAATTAAAATAAAAATTTATTTCCTTAGTTGGACTAGCCACATTTCACATGGTCAGTAGCCACATGTGACTAATGGCTACCATGTTGGACAGTGTAGATTGTGGAATATTTGTGGCATTGCAGATAGATCTACTAGGCAGTGTGCTTGTGGAAGAAGGGGAGGATGGATACTGGGGAATAGCCATTTCTGGGAGAAGGTAAGAGCACATGTGATGGTCCTAAGCTGGAACAGACATGAGATAGTTGAGGAACTGCAAAGAGGCTGGTATCATTGAAGTATAGAAGATGAGGGAGCAAGTATCTGAAAATGAGGCAGAAGGACCAAGGTTAGGTCATATAGAAGCACATGGTGCCTAAAAGAGGAAGTGTGCTATATTTATTAGAAGAGTGACGTGGTACAGTAGTCATTTAAAACTATTTTTCAGGTCAGAGTGAGGAGAATAAATGAGAGTGACAAAAGAGTAGAAGTGGGAAAATTAGTAAAGGAGCTATTATAAAAATCTTGGTGAGAGATGGTGACTTGAGCAAGTGTGATGGTGGTAGGGATAGAGAAGAGAAGAGGTCTGTGAATGTACTTTAGAGGTATAAATGACAGCAACTGTTGACCTATGAGATATGGGTACAAAGAAAACGGGGAACAAAGTATGATTTGAGCAACATAGAGGATTCTGCTATCATTTTTGAGGAGGGAGACTATTAGGGGAGTGTCAAGACTTTAAATATTTAAGTTTGAGATACTTGTTAGATTCCTTGGTTAACTGAGTGATTTGTTTATTAATTCCACAAATACTTATTGAGTGTCTAATACAGGCCAGACTCTGTGATGGATAATGCAATAGTAGATATAAGCCTGGAGCTGAGAACTGATACTCTTATGGAATATTGAGTTTCTAAAATTTCAAACTGTAGATATGGGGAGAAATGTAGAGAAACAGGAAAAGAGGGAGCTTTGGGTGCACTGATATATGAAAGTTGCTAACAAAGGACCAAGGAGGAGGCAGAGGAGTCAATGAATTAGGAGGAAAATCAGGGTAGTGTGTAGACATGGAAATCAAGAGCTGAGAATGTTCCCAGAAGGAGAAAGTGTGTTAACTCTGCTAAATACCACTCAAATTTGAGTAACGTGTGCATGCCAGGTGTCCAGTAGACAGATGTCCACCCAGAACATTGGTGACCTACAGCAGCAGATTTAGGGCTGGTATAGAAACATGATTGAGTTGGGGAGTGAATGGGTGGGGAGTGAGATTGAGCTATGCAGACCCTCCTCTTGAGTTTGTCGGTTCTGAGGTGTAGAGAAATGAAACAACGTAGGGAGGGATGGGATCTTCGAGGTGGCTTGTCAGGAACTGATGGTAGAGAAGGGACTGGTGCAGGAGTGAGGGGGCACATGAAAAGGAGTGAAGTCCTTGAGAAGGTGAGAAGGCTCAAAATTCAGAGCAAAGAGGTCTGGTCTTGGTTTGAACACAAGAAAACAGCAAGAACTTGGGCTTCCATTTTCCTGTGCTTTTATAAGTCAAGTGGAAGAGAAGATGTTACTTAGCTCTCAAATTCATTTAAACAAAACAACTACCGGTAGATACTGTAGAGTTTACAACAGAGGTTGTTTCAACAGTAGTTTCAATGGCTTGTTTTGTTGCTAAGGTTTTTATGGTAATTTGGAGAACTACAGGGACAAAAAATTTCCATATTGATAAACAGAGAAGGTATGATTCCTTCCAGTTTTAATATCCAGTGGCTTGTTTCCCTGGAAAATGGAACCTGGGGGCCTCTTACCCCTGTTTTCAATGGAATTATACCATTATTATTGATAACCAGAGTAGAGAGCTCCCTTGGTTCTAAATGCAGCCTTTTCTCTCTCTCTTAAAAAAGAAATTGACAGCCCCAAAAACCTGGTGACCAACCGGGTGACAGAAACTACAGCCACCATCTCCTGGGACCCAGTGAGAGCCGCCATTGACAGGTACATGGTGCGCTACACATCTGCGGATGGAGAGACAAAGGAGATTCCAGTGTCAAAGGAGCAAAGCAGCACCATCCTGACAGGCCTGAAGCCTGGTGTGGCATACACAGTTCAAGTGTGGGCCGTGAAAGGGGCTCGCGAGAGCAAGAAGGTCAGCACCAAGGCCCTGACAGGTACTGTTGGGACCAGTCCAGGGGAACCCTTCACACTGCTCAGGAGTGAATCCTCCTCCTCTATGACTGGGCCAGGGAGCAGAACAGGAGGGGTTGTTGCTTCATCTGAAGACATTTCTCAAGTGTTTGCAATTACATTTCAAGGAGATAATGTGGCATAACAGTTCAGATAAGATGACAGTGTAGAGCACATGGTTCAGTAGTTGTGTACAAGGTGGCTTCCCTCAGCCCCATCCACTTACCCAGCTGTCAAGCCCAGAACCTGGTTGGGCCTCAGGTCCAGTGGAGAGAAGAGAGAGGTGGGAGTTTCTGTTTCCCTCTTCCACGGTGGGGCCCAGGGTGGAACGCCCTCCTCCATGTGGCTTCCAGAGGGTGGTCAGAGATGCCTGGGCTGCATATATTTTGGTGCATGATGTGGCCTCCAGCCTTGGCTTAACATCACGGAATCAGGCTTAGAGGGCCCTGGAAGGTCTATGGGGCCCTTCAGAGAATCTGGGGAAGGTCTCTTCATTCCCCGCCATGGTCAAGTGCACCAACTGGGGCCACTGCATTTAGGAGTACCTTACATTTCATCATAATTTTATTAGTTAAAATTATCCATCATTTTAAATCTCAAGATTAGTATGTTATTATTACAAAAAGTTTCAAACTACACAAGAATGTTTGAGAAAAAATCTCATTTTCCTACCACAGACACTCTAGTTCCCTGTGTGGCTCTCCAGAGTCAACAGGTAACCAGTGTCTCCCTCCCTCCTTCCTCCTCTCTTTTGCTGCCTTTCCCTTGTTCCTGTTATCATCTCTTCCTTCTTTGTCTTTCTTTGTTTCACTTTCCCATTTTAAATGACAGTAATGAAATAGCCTTATTTCTACTCCATAGAAATGTGAATGTAACCAAGACAGACATCTCAAGTCCAGGGCCAGGGAAATGGATGGGCACTCAAAGAGGTGGCAGAAGTGAATTTGAAAATATTTAAACAGTTACAATTTTGCGTTCATTTTGAAAGAAAATCCAGTTTTTCTATGTGATAGACAGAATAAGATCCATGCCAGATGTTATGCTTTAGAAAATCAAACCAAGCTGATATAATAGAAACTTAAGATTTGTCAAAACAACGTAATTCAAAGCAGCAGCTGTCTGATTTCTATTAAAATATTGCGATTCAGTTCTCAGCTGAAATGCTGTTGGGTAGAAAATAGCCTGGAGACAACTCTTTGGGAGCTTCTAAATTAAAATTGCCTTCTGCGATGTTTCTTCAAAATGGAAATTTCCATTCATATCTTATTTAATTTAAAAAGTGAGCTGTCTGACCAGTTGTTACAGTGGTGACTAGTGTTTTTGCTGAGCTTTAGTTTTCCTGGTCTGCCATGTACGCTCAGTGTTTGGGTGGAGAAATACATACAGGAAAAGCTCTCTGCTCTTTCTGCCCACCTTCATTCTTTGTTATAAGCACTCTCCTATCTGCCTTTTTCTTTGTACTAGGTGTGCATCTAAGGCCAAATACTTGAATATTTAAAAAACACAACTTTGTATTTCTGTGCTAACTTCCATTATAAGCCCCATTCTGTTTGATGGTCAGAAATCTAAGGACATTAAGAATCATGCCCTTCATCAGGGCTGTGTAAGTCCTGGAGAGTTTCCCAGTGCAAGGCATTTTGTCATTTCTCTAAGGAGATGTTTGCTGAGTCAGCCCTGGTTTCTGTGTGCAGTTTTCTTGTAGGTCTGTGGTTCTCTCATCTTCCTATGATACCTCGGAAGCCCTGCCTCCTTGGAGAACCCATCTGCAAGTCTAGATTGCACAAAGCTAATATCTCCTGGGATATTCTGCTGGGAAGTGGGCCCAGATCCCCTCCCTGTCAGCCTGCACAGTGTCCTAGTCCTTAATCTTCTTGTCCTCAATGGATCTTTATTTTTGGAAATAAAGGTCAGGAGGATCAGGAAAGCTCCATAGCAAGGAAGAACAGACTCATTAAGTGCTTGGAGGGAAGAAGAGAAATGGGAATATGAATGAAGAAAGTATAAATTAATAGCTCAAGAATTACCTTGTCTGGTTGTATTTTAGTAATAATAATCACCTAATTTTTTAATTTATAGAAATAGATCCTCCCAAAAACTTTCGTCCATTCGGTGTGACACATTCTGGTGGGGCATTGACCTGGATGCCCCCCTCTGCTCAGATTGATGGGTACATTCTGACCTACCAGTTCCCCAATGGCACCGTAAAGGTACTGGACCTTTCTTTTCTCTTGCTGCCTTCTCTGAGCAGCCTCTCTGTGAAGCGACTGACTTGGGAAAGTCAGCTTGATTGCTGGTCAGATGGTAACCTGCTGATCAACCAGTTGATCCTTATTGATCACCTGGTATATGTAAGGGATGGTGCTAGGCAGAGTCATTTGTGAACACTGTGGTCTCATTAAGGCCTGACATTTGTGCCTGCTCCTCCTACTGACCTCTGTATATTTGCTGGCCACATATCTGCCCTTTTAAAAAATTATTATTATTGTTAGTCTTCCCTAATACAAGCTCCATGAGCAGGAAATTTTTGGCTGTTTTGTTTATTGTTGTATCTAAACTTCTTAGGATTGTGATTAACACATGGTAGGTGCTTATTTCAATGGTATACCTCCCCCTTGAATCTGAAGGCAGCAAATGTGCAACACTTGTCCAGATGGCAAATTGTCATTCTTTCTCCTTGGTAAGGAAGAGGGAAGAGGGAGGAAAAAAGGAAGGGCACTTTGACTAATTTGTGATTGCATTTAATGCTTCTGACAGTCTGCTAATAAAGTCAGTCCTGTGCTTATAGAGCAAGTAAGACAGATTCAGACAGATGTGTTGAAATACCAACTATTTCTGTGTATCGCAGATATCAGTGGCTTGTTTCATGCCCTTTTAGCATTTCTTTAGGCCAGCATTGCCTCCTCATTGCCGATAGCAGTGGCTATAGTCAGTGCACAGTGTGTATCTGAAGGTGGACACCCCTGGAAAGAATAGGCTGTGCTCAAGTGGCAGTACATGGTGTGATGTTTCAACTAGTGCTCCTAGTAGGATTGGATCTCGGTGGCACAGCCCTCCAGAGAAGTGACGGGGCCCATGGGGTTTCTGGGCTGCCACTGGGCCCTTGGAGAGCTTCTGTGGTAGCCCCCCGGAATGCTCTTGATCCCTAGGCTGCTAGAGGATCATGCACAGAATCACTGTCTCTCTACTTACTATCTCCTTTGTTTGGTAGGAGGTGCGGCTTGGAAGAGGCGAGCAGAGGTTCGAGTTGCAAGGCCTTGAGCAGGGCATCACCTACCCTGCCTCCTTGGTTGCTTTTAAGGGTGATCACAGGAGCAGGAGTGTATCCACCTCCCTCTCCACAGGTAACGTGGAATCTGCCTTAGGAGTGGTAGTGCAATAGCAGCTGAGCAGGGGCGAGGCCAGGGAGGAGCAAGCGCTTATAGAGCTATGGATCTCTCCTCTGGGAAATGAAAATGGAGTTATGGATTCAAAAGAAACCTACTCACAGTGAGAGGCTACAGAAGGGAGTGAAATAGAGCATTGCTTTGTGGGGGTACTGATTTAGGGAAAGAAGTGATAAGAATTTGACCTTGATTCTGGTGCATTTGCAGAGTTTGATGAGAGCAGAGGGAGGGAGAAAAAAAAGTCATGAGTGAAGATTTGGAAGAGGAAAGATAATCAGGGTTATGAATTAATTTCCAAACAAAATAAATTGCCTTAAAAAAGAAGAGGCCTTAAAGAATTTGTTTTTTCCTTGCCTTTCTTCTAACAATACTGCCTTTCTGCTTGGCTCCCAGTTGATGCTCGTTTTCCACACCCCTCGGACTGCAGTCAGATTCAGCAGAACAGCGATGCCGCCAGTGGCCTCTACACCATCTACCTGAATGGTGATGTCAACCGGCCCCTGAAGGTTTACTGTGACATGGACACAGACGGAGGCGGCTGGATTGTGAGTCCTGCAGAGCCCTGGGGAGCTCCATGAAGCACTTGTTTCTTTGCCCAGAGAGCTGGTCACAGCTGCCCTGTGGAGCATTTGGAGGGGGGTCTACTTCTTTAGCCATAGGAGAGAGGATCTTTGATGACTTGCAGCTGTTTTGAGAGTGTAAGGTTAGAGCCTAGTACTTAACATCTGTCATAGAATAGGCTTGGTTAACAGGACTGAAGACTATGTAGGCTTGTGGGTTTATTGTCATCCAATAATGCCCTATATGTGATCATTACCTAAATTTTACCTACTTTAAAGCACTTTGAAAAACATAACTATCGTAAGATAGCTTTAGAGTAAGTGAGAAAGGATTCTTATTCCTGTTTTACAGACAGAGAAAGTGAGGCCCATAGAGAAAAGCACCTTGTCTAAGTCATACAATTTAACAACAAAGCTAGGTCTAGATTTTAGGCCTCCAGCCTCCTAATTCATTGGTCTTCCCAATGGGTCATCCAAGAGGAATATTCACAGCCTCTTTGGGGGCTTGGTTCTCTGAATTGAAGCCTGTTGTCCAGGTTCTGTGCCTTGTTTCCAACAGGACAGAAACGAGGCCTTTTGGGCTTTGATTTGAAAGACTTAAGACCTGAAAAAGGGAGGCATGGGCAGTGTCCTAATGGCTCCTGTTCTGTGTGGACCTTTTATTCGCTTGGGTCATTGTCTACTTAAACCACATGGCATCTTCTTTGATTGCATGCTGATCCAATTATATGATGAGCTGCCTTTGAAGTTTGCAATCTGATTCTTCCATCTCCCACTCTCCACTTCTCTCTGTGCCCAAACTGACAGAAGCTCTCGATACCTCAAACCAGCATGCAACCTTCACCTGCTGTGTATCTGCAACTCATTGTGGGAAAGAGAAAGTATGATATCATAGTGCTCAGAACTATATTCACTTACACATTTGCTCAGGGGTCTGGGAAACCAAAGACACTTGAGCAGCCATGGGTAAAATGATACCATCTGATGAGCAGTGATGAAGAAAAGTTATTATCTGCACAGTGGCATCTGACGCCTGAAAGGCAGTAAATGGATTGGATGGGGAAATTCTTGATTGATTTGTAAAATAACTGAACAGAATATAATGTGGGAAGTCTTCCAGCTGGCCAGGCCCATAGGGTTGTACCTGCTGCTTTTCATCAGCACCATTGTAACTCAAAGCATTTGGTCCCTTCAGGCCTGAAGCCCAATTTCCTGCCATTGTGTCTGTAATTGACCATTGGCAGGATGTTTGTACTGTCTAATATGACCTTTCTGAAACCCAAGCTCGCATAGAGAAAGAGATGTATGTCTAGCATAACCTTTAGGAAAGAGATCTGTCAGTCTGTCTGCCTGGGAAGTCCATGAATTATTGTACAAATATTGAGCTCCTACTATGCATCAGGTACTGTTTTATGAACTTAAAATCCAGCAGTGAAAGAATCAGACTAAAATCTCTGCACTTAAGGAGCCTGCGCTCTTTATCCTGCCCATGAAAATAACCTTCGCTCCACACACAGTCTGTCCCAGAAATAAGAAGCCACTCTGTGATCTAACCAACTCCAATCCCCCACCCCACCCCACCCCACCCCACGTCTTGTTTTCTGACCCCGATTCCTAGAAATAATCCATGAGAGTCTACAGGGTTCTCCAAGCTCCAAAAATCATATGGAGTCCTGAAAACTTCACCACCACATATTTTACTGACAATTTTCATGTTTTTTGCATTTTCTGTCACTGAATGACAACCTATAGTACCCTGCTTCTTTTGAACTTTTAAAATCCTTTTAAGGAAATTCTCCACAGCAGGCAGCAGGAATCCTGGTTGGTGAACCGACAGACAAGCTCTGCCCCTAGGAGGTAACAGAGGCTGCTGGTGGGAAGCTGGAAAGAACATCAGGGAACACTTAAATGTCTCAAATATTTCCAGCTTTGTTTTCCATCTTGGAAGTCTTAAAGACTGCACTTAGAGGCTCTTTCCACAGGCTTTTACATGCAATTTTGATTTTTTTCTTCCTGATTGAGTCATTCAGAACATTAAGTTCTTGAGTGTAATGACAACTCTGGAGTATTTGACCAGACATAAGGAGTTTTTTCCCCCTTTGAGACTTATTTGCTAAGGAGCTTTTGTTATTCCTGAATACAGAAGTTCCTTATAGTGTTTTCACTCAGAATGGGAATGAACTAGATTCTGAGTGAAGGCTGCCTGATCACAATGTAAAAATGATCCCTATGGGCCAGCTCATTTGAATTTGATGTAATCAATTGCAAAGTAACATTTATTGAGATATAATAATAACTTATCTATATTGCTGGACTCTGGGCTAAGTATTTTGTGATTTATTTTGATTAACGATCTTGCTAAAGCCTCAGTTTTAGCTCACAACAGAGGAGCAGTTGTCATCTTGATCTGATAATTTTGAAAAGTAAAGCTTCTCAAGGTTAACTAACTTGTCCAAGGACACAGCTAGAAGCATGAATCTGGTCTAAGCAATGAGGGAAGAGTACCAGAGTCTGCTTGCCTGACCAGGCTGAGTATTATTTAACAGAATAAGCTGGAAAGCTCTTATCAAGCTTGGGCATTATGTTTATTGATTGGAGATAGAGACCACATGCCTTTATAATACATCTGTCCTTAGAAGGGCAGGATTAGTTTTGAACTTGACCTTGCAGTAGGAACAAGATTTGACACAATGGATGTGGAAGCAAACGTGAGTTTCACATCCCGGACGTCCACATTCATAGGGCATGTGCCATGTCATTTAGCCCTTCCAGCAACTCTGTGTGGTAGACCCTTCTTTCCCACTTCTGTCCTAGTTTGATAATGAGTTGGCAGAGGGTCAGGAACAGAAATGCCTGACTCACTACCCCTCTGGCAGGGACAGGCTCTAGCTGACTAGGTGCCTTAGTTCAGCTTCTCCTGGGCCAGTGAGCCTGCCCCAGTGCTTCAGGAGGAGTTAAATGTGAGTGCCCGCATGGAGAATCAGCACTCCTGCAGGATAACCTGTCCTTTGCTGCTCTCTCTGGCTCTTCCCAGGCAAAAACAAAGAATGCACAAGTATTAGGAGGAGGTTTACCTTACCAGATTCAAGATGATGCATTTTACTTCAAGGCAGCTGCTCTGAAGCCTGGTGGAAAGCAGGGATATTAGATTTTGTGTTGGGGCTTTTTCATTTGAATTAAAATGGAGGAAAATTGGTAGAAAGAAGCAATTTCAGCTTTGGTTAGTGGCAGTCATTGCTGGGGTTAGCTAGGGTGGCTTTTAGCTTGGCTTTCAAGGTCAAGTAGAATTATGTATTATCAAGTCCAGTAGTGCACAAAGGTGTATTTAAGTTTTAGTTACTTTTAAAGTTTACTTCATATAAAAGAATCCAACTTACTCTGATAGGAACTGCCCTCTTCCAAATAGAGGAATTTTTGTGAAGAAAGTAGCTGTTTTTGCATAGTATCCAACTCTATCTTATTCCACGCTCACTTTTCAGTCCCTGTATCTCACCAACACAACCCTTGACAAAATCACTGGTGACCCCATATCACTGAGTTCTAGGGACAGTTTTGATCTCCTGTTTCTCCCTGTGTCATGAGCACTTGATGCTATTAACCATTATTTCTCTCTGGGTTTGTGATTCCACATTTTCCTAGTTTTTTCTCCCATATTTCCAGTTACTTTTTCTCTCTCCTTAATGAAATAATTTTTCCCCATGTGGCTGTTACACATTACAAGTCCTTGTGGCTCGATCCTAGGGCATTTTCTCCTTTTAGTTCCTATTTTCTTCCCTCATGGCCTTGTTTGTTCCCTTGACTTCACTTTCCCCTGTTTCCCAGTGGCTGTCTGTAGTCATTAGGATGGAATGGATATGTTGCAGTAGCAAACCATCCCCAGATTCAGTGATCTGACAGCAAGCTTTTTTGCTCATGTGTGCAATGTTCTCTGGAGGTTTGGCTGCCACTTCTAAGTGGTGACTCAGGGATTCAGGCTGATTCCATCTTGTGGTCTGCAGTTTCAACACATGGCCTTCAACATGGTGCCATGGTGTGGAACAGTAGAAGAGAACATGGAGAATCCCACCCACTTTCCTGTACTCCCATTTATAGCCCTTTGGCTAGAAATTACTTGGCTCTACCTTAAGTGCAGGAGACTTGAAAAGGAAATCTTTCTGTATTCCTGGGAAGAGAAAAGTGAAATGGGACTTGGTAACTACTAGCGTTTTCTTAGACACATGCCCACTTTAAAAGCATAGCTTATCGATCCCCAGTACAAAAAAAAATATATATATAGCTTAGACTTCTCTTTAGGACTCTAACTCTTACACTCAGCTGCTTATGTGGCATCATCATACCTCAGAAGCATCTCACACTACATTTCCAAAGGAGCTCGTGGTGCGCTCACAAAACCTGACCTCTCAGAACCTCCCCTCTAGGTGAACAGCTTAGTGATAGTCATTCAATTCTGCAAGCCAAAATCATAAGAATTATTCTTGACTTTCCCCTCCTTCAGTTCCACATTCTGTCTGTTGCCATGTCTGTCAGTTTTACCTTGTGTCCACTTTTGTCTATCCTCAGGGCGGCCTCTAGTCCAAGTGACTGTCGTCTCTCACAGTCCACTGCAGTGACTTCCTGGCTGACCATCCCTCTTCCGCTCTTGCCCTGGCCAGGCTCTGCACTGCAGTTAGAGGGACTTGAGCATGCCTGATACTCTTACTTAGCCTGTAGCTCTCAGTCACTTCCTCAGGGGAGCTATTGCTAGGTTCCCCTATTTAATTCTCTCAAAGTCCTATTGCATCTTTCCTTCATAGCACTTATTGTTTTAATTGCATGTTTGATTGTTTAATTCATGTTTGTTTCATTTACTAGACAGTTAGCTCTGTGAGGCGAGGGACCATTTTTGGTTTATTAGTTTTGCACATCATCTTCGTAGTGCCTACTACATACTGGATGCTCAATAAATATTTATTGGATGAACTTTGTTCTCCATAAATTTTATATACTTGCTACAATAGGAATTAAGTGAACTAAAAGATAATTCCTACTTTCAAACTATATAGGGTGGAAGAGGGAAGAAACAACATATAAATATAATGTGCCCCAACTGAGTTGAATAGATGTTGAAGGTTATGGGTCAGAGCCAGCAAAGGTCTGGAATGTTTTGTCTTCCATAGTCTACCAATGGCAACTATATCACCAGTTCCCCAAGTTTTTCTGTGCTCTGTAATTGAAATTTCTTGAGGGAAGAAATCTTCTCTGTTAGTAATTACACATTTTAGTACTTAGCATGCTTCTTTGTACCTAAGGAATTCTTACTAATATCATAGACAAATACAGTGAATCTACATATATAGGAATAAAAATCCTTTCTGAAAATAAAGATGTGGTGCTGCTGGAGGAAATTGCTTTATGGGCAGCTTCCTAGTCCCTTCCTGACCCCTGATATCACCTTGGGAAATACAGATACTGTCCTCTTTTCACTCGGTTTTCTCTGTTCAGTATGTCATAGTGAACCAGCCATGTCCCCTTTCAGGTCTTCCAGAGACGGAACACTGGGCAGTTGGATTTCTTCAAGCGCTGGCGGAGCTATGTGGAAGGCTTCGGGGACCCTATGCAGGAGTTCTGGCTTGGTATGATTTCTGAGAATCCAAGGGCTGGGGTTGTGGGTAATTTTCCCCTTCACAAGCTGGTCAGGCAGCTCAGTGAGAGGTCCAAGTGGCAGGGACACTGTGTTGGTGATCCCAAGCCAATGGGAAGGTTCTCGTGCACTCCAGACTTGGGCTGCCCCCGGTGGTTTTTATGCTGTATGTAAGCGCTGCAAAGCTGCCTGGAGCCCGAAATTCTCACAAATCATGTTAGAAAAGCAGTTGTCTAGTGGGAATTCTGGGCTCTTATTGGAAGGATATTGTAGTAGTCCCTGAAATTCTGATGGTAATGCCAGGCATTATCGGCATTATACTTTTTCCCCTTTTCCCTCTTTTCTCCTCTGGAGCAGATGTTCACAGAGAGAGAAACAGCCAAAAGCATCAGTTGGGAAATGCAAAATTTAAAAAATCATAACCTGAATACTCCGTGTCTAACGGAGTAGAAGATGTTTGTGGTTTGCTTAGTACAAAATCTCTTCAGGGATCTGAGAACGAATATTGATCTGTTGTCTACTTATGAGATGTGTGGACAATAAGAATTGCTTTTGTTTTAGAGACATGGAGCTCATGGGCAGATTCATCCCATGATTCTCCACCCTCCAACTGTGCCTCTCCATACAAGTCATTAGTGTGACAGTGCCAGAAAAATAATAGGGTTAGAAAATTGGTCCCTTCCCCCAAAGAGAAAGTGTTGGAAAGGCCCTTTATTGGCAGAAAACATAAAAGCTAGGATGACTTTTGCCTTTGAAAGTCTTAGATGCAAATGGAGAGTGCTCACAGGTACACGGGTTGGTTGGGGTCTTAGTCACTTTACTTATCTCTGGGATGCGATACCTGACACCGATAGATTAAATGCAGAAGGTTTATTATGGTTCACAGTTTGCAGAGGTTTCAGTCCATAGTTGGCTGGCTCCAATGCCGGACTGTGTGCCAGAGGGGCCTGGCAGAGGAGAGCAGCTCGTGGCGTGTCAGCAGGAGGCAGAGCCACCAAGGGAGGAGGAGGGAGATAGACCCTTCCAGGACGTAGCCCCAGTGACCCGCCTCTCAGACCAGGCTTTACTCCCAACATCACATTTAGCTGTAAACTCATTGGTGGACTCATCCACTGATGAATATCACACACCCACACCGGTGAGCACATGAGGCCTCGGGGGACATCTAGATAGAAACCCTAACTGGTCATTAGAATTCATTCTGTATTTTTAGGACTTGATAAGCTACACAATCTTACTAGTGGCACCCCTACCCGGTATGAAGTCAGAGTGGATTTACAGACCTCCAATGAATCTGCCTACGCCGTATATGATTTATTCCAAGTGGCCTCCCCCAAGGAGCGGTATAAGCTGACAGTTGGGAAATACAGAGGCACAGCAGGTAAGAAAGTCTTTCCTTACTCTTACAGTCTCTCGCTCTCTGTTGTCTGAGGATTGTTTTGCCAGGTGCCGTGGGTCTGGGTGGGGGTGGAATATTGTTCTGTGAGATGAATTGGGCCGGGGGTGACCAAGGATGTTAAGACAGTCCCTGACCTTCACGCAGCCCTCCTCTTCTACTCCCCCAGTTCAGTCTGTTGGAATTGGCTGATGAAATTAGCCTTTCTGGTGATTTTCTGTTGCTTTTAACCTTTCATTAGACCTCAGCACTGTGGCTGTCGTATTTGTCGGCACAGCTGTGCGTGTGTATGTTATTACTTGAGCATTTTGTGGTACTTTGCTATAAATAAAGACAGAAAAATGAAAGTGCTGATTTAAATAATACGAAGGATAGGTCTCATTAACTTAATACAACTGTGACAACCCAGAAATGAGCAGTTCAGCTCAAAGTGCGGAATCTTCAGCCTCGATTAGCTGCTCATTGGAGTTTAGCTGGTTGATGATGTGTTCATTTGTGAGGGAAAGGAACAAAATTAAGCAATGTAATGGAAATGCTGAAATGATTCCAATAAATATTCCAAAGGGGAGGTGTGGTTATTGCTTTAATACTAATATTTAAAATCTTATTTATGGTTTTTAAGTTAAGTAAGCCTATTTGACTTTTGTGTGTTTCCTGCTTTGGTATAACTATGTAGGAAGGTGTTACCAGCCAAACGGACACAGTCTCTGTCCTCAGGCTCACAAGTAAATAGAAGAAGAAAACTGTAAGGTAACTTTTGCAGAGAGTCAACCAAGCGGTAAGGACCATGAAGAACTAAGGAGTGGAGAGAGTGGGTGCCCTGAGGGTTGGAGTGGATGGAGGAAGCTTCCTGCAGGCCAGGGGCTGAAGCTCGTCGGAAAGAAGAGTTGAGCGTAGGTAGAAGGAAGGAAGGGGCCCTTAGTGAGAGCCAGGACTGAGCTGAGTCAAGGGTATCGGAATGTAGTCCTATAGGACTTCTCAGAACTGTCTACTCAAGAGTTTCCCGAAGGCAGACAACTGTGAATTTCTGTGAGATCTATAATCTCATCCAAAAACCCCATCACATGAATTTTGCTCTTATTTCCCTGTGTCCAGCACAGAGCCTGGCAGGGAGAATATGAGTTTAAAAACTGAAATTGCCAGCAGGGCTTTTTGATATAATCTCACAGACGTTTAATATCTTCCCAAGACCCAGTAGGTTCCACAGGGGTCAGTGAGTTTGGTGAAAGGGTAAGGTAGGGCTTACTAGAGTACCAGGAGTTTAGGCTACATAGAACTGTCCAAGCATTCCAAGCAGGGCTTGGGTGGAAATAAGTGTGCAAAGAATTGTTTATGTCTTGTAGGACTAAGCCCATGGTTCCTCATCCCCACCCCATCTCTAAATAAGATTGGACTTCATTGCTGATAGCTTCCCGAAGGGTCCCCAACCCTTTGGTGTAAAAAGGGACCCACAGCCAGTCTCTCTTACACCCTTTGGGCCTCCTGCTCTGGTCTCAGTCCACACAGAGCCTACCTGGTTATCCCCATTACTTCCAAAAGCCTCTTCTCTGTTCCCATCATAAGCATCAGCTTTAGCCTTTTTCCCAGGCTAGAGTCCCTGTCTTCACATCTGTGGGCTGATTGATACCTGGACAACGTATGAAGTTGGGTGTTTCCCTTTGGCCCCTGTTCCCCACTTCTCTCCTTGAGATACAGCACCCCTCGCTGGCTTCCTGGTTGGGGACTTGATTCAGGCCTGTCCTCCCAGGCTGTCCCTTCTCCTTTCCTAGAACATTAAAATTTGCCTTTTCTGGGCCTGTTTAACATAATCTAGCAAACGAAGTGATGCTAATGGGAAAGTGAGTGAAAGGAAGTCAGCATATTTGGGGATAAATGTGATTTTCCTCCCAGGTACTGTATTTGCATTTTACCTGTGATTAGGTGATAATTCCATCATAAGGTTGTTCAGGGCAACAGTGCCAGTCAGTGGAGGATATGTTTTTTAACAGAAAGCCTTGGAGACTTTCAAATCACACAGCACTTAGGCAGCAATCTGGTCTTCCTATGCCTGATCATTCCTACCTTTAAAGTCCGGATTACATTGGGGGATCAGTGGAGTTTTAGTTTCCCTTATATATGGTGATGGGTCCATGAGGAGGGCTTTAAAATTTTAGGAAGCTTCTGGCTTCTCATGTCCTAAATGATGAGGCCCTATTTAGAGGAAAGGGAGGTGTGCACTTTGATTTCTCTGCTCATGTGGTGGCTCTCTCCACTTCTGACTTAGTTGGAGCTCTGCTAATAGCTCTGAGATATGCAGCCCCAGAGTGAATGTGAGGTTCAAGGCTTGTCCCCTCCTCAGGGTGTCCAGGTGGGGCCTTGACCCTTGAGTCCCACTGAAGTCACCCAAAAATCCATTATTCCTTTGTGAAGGAAGCACTACAGGGGCAATACGGTGTAAATTTAGTTTCTTATTTTAAGACTTGGAGTGAAGCAAGGAGGCTGTCTGATGCTCTCTACCTTCAAGATACAATTCATCTATTTAGAGATGAAAATGGAAACCAAAATAGACATTCAGAATAGTGCTGAAGGATTTCTTTGGGCTGACCAGTTGTTTACAGCTGATTTCAAGTTCCAGCTGTATGGGGCTCAGTTGTGTCCAGGTTTGGGGATGGGTCCAGGCTCTGGCAATCTGTACCAGCATGGAGTGGGCTGGGGCCAGGGAAGCCAGATATCTCAACTGCCAGAACATTCCTTGTTTTGAAGTGGGTTTTAAAACTCTGGGACTTGAGAAAGACAAAAAACAAAACGAAACAACCCCCCCCCAAAAAAGAAACCCCCCCAAAACCTTAATGGATATGAGTATAAAAGGGAAAGCCAGAATGTCACTTATCATTCTTTTGCTTGCTTACTCCTAATCCCAAGATAAAAGACATTTGAGGTCCAGGCATATGGTCCTGGGGTGTATGTAACTTTTGGAGACATGGTGGTAATGGCTTTTCCTGGTCTGAGATGGTAGCTTCCTGGCTCACCTTCTCTGTCCCATGAAATGCTAAAGGAGGAGAGTCGGTCTCAGAGTGACATCCGGGTGAGATGGTTGATGACCAGCTTAGTGGCCCTATCTTGAGCTTGGGTTCAGCCCTTCTAAGCCCGCCATCAGCCTCTCCAGGCTGCACCTGAGAAGCTCCAGCTTCTCGCCAAAGACATTGTACTGGAGTTGGGGCCTTTATCTCTAATGCAGTGCTTTTTCCTGAAACTCTGAGGAGGGAGCGAGTCTCAGCACCGTGGTTTTGGCTATTTCATTTCACTTTCTCTTACTTAGGGAAATAACCTTAATAAATCAGGATGCTGTCTTAGCTCGGGCCTGGTGACCAGGATAAAATTACTTGCTATCTACTTCTGAACATTACAGTGACTTCAGTTTCTAGAAGGCAGAAAATCCATTGGCAGAAAAAAAGTTCTTTTTAGGCTTAAACCTGCGCCACCCATCTTTGGCCCAGTGCCCAGGGTTAGATAACAAAAACCTGCAGAACACCTCTGGCCAGATGCTTCAAAAACAGGCCTGGGGACTTTGTGTGCAAGTTAGGTAACCGGAGCTCATTAAAAGGATGTTACTGGGGAAGCCCTTGTGTGTTACTTCAAGCTGTAGTTAACTGTGTGCACCAAATCTAGAGGGAGGAGGAAACGTGCATGGACAAAGTGACAGCGTGCCTTTCTTCAGTTGGGACTGGGACAGATGGGACAGAGCCGTTTTGCTGTCTGACTGAAGCAGCCTCTCTGGCTCTGTTTTTGCTCCTCCTACCTTTGCTGGGTGAAGCAGAAAGGAGCTGTTGTTTGAACCTGTAGAACTGGAGGGGCAAACTGGGACACGTGGTACTCGCCACTCTGTCACCGTGCTGGGGATTGCTCCTGGGCTGTGCCCTTGCTGAGCATGCAGTGAACCTCTGAGCTATGTCTCCTTCCCTTAGCAACTCCTTATGATCTGCCCCACACAGCCCAACTGTGTTTTTGAGAGCAAGAACTTCCTCATTGTTTGTGTTCCTAGAGCCTAATGCGCTGCTCCGCATAAGAAAGTGAATGATGTTATAGCTCATATCAGAATCACCTGAAGAGCTTGCCCATGCCCAGATCGCAGGGGCCTACTCTACGTGTAGTTTCTGGTTCTGTAGGTGTGGGGTGAGCCTGAGAATGTGCATTTCTAACAAGTTCCCACGTGATGCTGGGGGCCTCACTCGGAGGACCATTGTTGGTTGTTAGAGATGGCTTTCTTTTCCTAGCATGATGCAAGCCCTCTGTTGGAATAAGGGAGCCATAGATTACTTGGTGATGCAGAAAGAACCTTGGTCTTGGAATCTGAGGGCTGAGAGTTGAGTCCGGGCTCCAATCTGTGGACTAGGGGACCTTGACAAGTCCTAAAGTCTATTCCCTGGGAATTTATTTCTTCATGAGACCAAGAGCTGCTCTGCCTACTTCACGGAATCAGACGAGAACATGTGTGAGAAGATGATCCAGGGAGCCAGGGGTTGGCTATAATGAAAGTATCACTATAGCAGGAACAGAACTTGCTTAAGCTTGTGATTGGTAAGAGCCCTTATTGCCTTTTATGAGCTGAAAAAGAAAGTAAATTTGTAACAGGATGGCAAATATGATAGGGAAATAGGTGTAACGCAAGTAAAGTAAGGTAGATCCTAGACAGGATGTAGTGAAGCACTGAACTGTACATACATCCTGGGAAGGCTCTAGAAGTTCAGGTATGTGTGTGTGCATGTATATGTGCACACGTGCGTGCGTGCATTTGTCTTAGGGTGGTGGGAAGACCAGTGAGAATCTTCCTCGGGTATGGAGTGGAGTTAGGCCTTGAGGGATGGTTAGGATTTCGCCAGTGAGAGGCAGAGAGAAGCCCTATTGGAGGTGGACCTTTCCTTTCTCAAGCGGAAGGTGCCTGATGAGAACAGTGGGATCCAGGCCTGCGCAGAGGGGACAGCAAGGGACAAGCTTGCAAAGCAATGAGGAGCCATCACCTCTCTGTGGTCAGAAGGAGGACATTAGACCTGACAGGCTAAAAACGGGAGTTTGAGCTTCATGGGGATTGGCAGGCAGGAAGTTGGGGAGAAAGCTGTTGGGTTCGCGAGGGCCCACAGAGGTGAGAAGAGACCTAGGCTGGCAGCCATGGGCGCAGAGCAGTGGGTGTGTGAGACATCTGAGAAAGAAAGGTCGGATAAAAGATGCAGAGGGCTTGTCAAGCATAGCACTGGGGTTTCAGGTCTAGGTGGCGGGGAGAAGGGTCACCATAGCAGAGATAGGAAGACAGAGTGGGTATTTCTTGTGAGAGGCAGTCAAACTTTTGACGTTATGTGACTATGGAGACTGTGGAGCTTACAAGCAAAAAAGCTGTTCCAGCCACTGGAGAAACAGGCCTGGAGTTTGGGTGACAGGCCAGAGAACCTGTTCATGTGTGTCATGTTCTCATTTGGGCCATTTTGAGAGTGGTGACCATCTGTGACATGTAATTGGCTGATTCCTTGACATTTTCATGCCTAGATGTTTCCTGTTGGGTCCTCTTTTGGGGCAGACTGTGGTCATGCCCTCAGTGGCTAAACAAGGGCTCTCATCTTCCCTCTTCTCTCCTGCAGGGGATGCTCTTACATACCACAATGGATGGAAGTTTACAACTTTTGACAGAGACAATGATATCGCCCTCAGCAACTGTGCTCTGACGCATCATGGCGGCTGGTGGTATAAGAACTGCCACTTGGCCAACCCTAATGGCAAATACGGGGAGACTAAGCATAGTGAGGTAGGTGACAGGCAAAGATTGACTCTGTCCCAGGCTCTGCCCACAGTCAGCTCCCAAAGGGACACCCTCCAGGCTGGGCTGGTGGCGCCTCTCTCTCCAAGGCTCCCAGTAAGGGCCCTGCCCACTCTACTTTCCAGTATTGCACACTTTCTTAGTGGCAGGTGGGTGGGAAGTTTGGGCTGCCCACTGTGTGTAGACTGATGATGTGAGTCATACACCATCTCATTTTACAAGTTCACACATGGACACTGTCATGGCATGGGCTGCTGTAACAAAATATTGCAGATTGAGTAGCTTGAATAAGTTCTAGGGGCTGGGCAGTCCAAGATCTGACTGACAGCAAATTTGATTCTTGCCGGGGTGGGCAGTAGGGGTTGCTTCCTGGCTTGTAGACAGCTGCTTTGTTACTACATCCTCATATGGCAGAGAGAAAGAGAGAGGGGTCCTGACCTTATCCGTTTCTAATAAGGACATAGATCTCATCATTAAGTGCTCTATCCTCACGATCTCATCTCAACTACCTCCCCAAAGTCTACCTCCTTATACTATCACATTGGGGGTTAGGGCTTTGCCCTGTGAATTTTGAGAGAACACAAGTATTCAGTCTGTAACAGACACTTCATCATACTCATTAAACCAGAGCATTTTTTTCAAGTGCTTTGTTCACCAGGAAAGCAAAGTCCTCTTCTTTAGGTCAGAATCTTCCTTAGATCCACTGTACCCAAAGCCACCCAGAGTCTTCCTAGAGCATCGTGCTAGCTCTATGAGGAGTGTGCAGGGCTGGGAGCCCATGCAGGTCCCCCTCCCCTCTCTTGCTTGGAAGCCTTTGAAGCTATTGCAGTTTCTTGAACCTCCACAACCCTTTCTTATCATCTTAACTCTTTGCCGTCTGCTGTGCATCTCCTGCCTGCTTCCTCACAGTTTTTTGAGAATTGCATCTTTGCTCCTCATTATCCTTATTCCCTACACTCCCAAACCCTCGAACTCCTGATTCTGGGTTTCTACCTCCTGTCCTACATCCTGATCTTATCCTTCAGGAAGCCCCTCTTCCCAGAACTTACCCCACACCGATACTGCTGTCAATATTGGCACATGGAAAGTACAGGTACATTTTTATTACTTTGGTCCTAGTCAGCTGCTTATGTGATTTTTCAAATGGAAAAGAAATTTGCCTCCCAGGAAGCCAAGGAAGATGGCCCATGAATCATGGTGGCAGTATGTGGGCCGACTCAGAGAGGCCTGCGATCAGAGATCAAATATTTGAAATGAGCAGCCAGCATGCCCTAAACCATCCCCATATTTGCTAATACAAGACATTCATCTGGTTAATGTGCTTTTCACAGTCTGCAAGGCATTTAGCTTCTTGTTTATTATTTACCTCACAAATTAAAATACATAAAATTGGTCACTTGGGCTCTTTATTGGCCAGGTTGCAAGGTTATCAAGTGAATTAAATACCATTGTGCTCACCAGTCAAAAGATATAAAATAAAATTTAGTTTTCAGCAGGCTATTTGTTACCCCAGAGCTAACACCAAAATAGTCTAAATTGAAAATGATTTCACACAATTGCCAATTAATATGTTTATTTTTGCCTCTAATTTTTGGGAAAGGAGAAGAGTGAGCCAAACCTAATTTGCTCATGTCTGACCGGGCTGACCCTCAGGTTAGCTGTCTGTCCTGGCCTCCCCCATGTCCTGGACCAAACCCCTCGTTTTCCCGCTGCGCCCTGGCTTCTGTCGCCTCCGCCTGTCTAACCCAGCTGCCCAGCAGAGGGCGCAGCTCTTAGTTCTGACCTCACCTCCCGGATCAGCGAACCGGGGACGCTTGCGCCTCCTTTCTCTGCGCTCAGCACAGCGGGAATGGACTGACTACCAAAGAATGATTCCTAGGTTCCAAAAGCCACTCTTCCTTCTTCCAAAGTGCGACTTCTTGATGTTGACTTTTCGCGTAGGGGGTGAACTGGAAGCCGTGGAAAGGACATGAATTCTCCATCCCTTACGTGGAGTTGAAAATTCGCCCAAATGGCTACAGCAGAGAGCGTTTCCATGGCAGAAAGAAGCGGACTTTGGGAGGAAAGACGAGAATGTTCTGATGGCCCGTCCGGCGGTGTTCGCAGGAGACAAAACCAGCTGGGGTCGGGGCTGAGAGTTTGGGGCCGGTGGGTGGCTGTGGCTGGGAAGTGGAAAGTTGGAGGATGCTCCCGGCCTCTGGTTTCTGAGATTGCTGGAAAACCCACAGAACAAATGAAGGCAGCATGCTTGGAATCCTAGAGGTTCCTTCCCAGTCACCTGCAGTTTTGCCCATCTACGCTAGGGGACCTGATCATCAGCACTATCCTGGTTGCAGTCTGTATGGGTGAAAACGAGGGTTTTGGAACTGCAAGTTTTTTTCAGCCAAATATACTGGATTAGGGTGGAAAAAAATGAATCTTCCAGCACTTCACTGGCAATCTCTAGGAACTGGTGTACACACATATATATTTAAATCTCTGCTAATACAAATCTTCTTTCTAGAAAGTTGCACCAAAGAGAGCTTCCGATTGCACAGGAGTCAGGGCTGGGGTAACCTGATGATTGTTGCCTCCTATTTCCTGTGGGTTTTGAGGGAAAAAGTGTAAATCCCACTCCTTTTTAATTGCTGGTGTTGTGAGGAAAAATGAAGAGAATAAAAAGGGGCCAAGATGCATTCACATTTAGCTAGTTTCTGACTGGTCTCCAGTATTCTGGAAACCAAAGCTGCCATTTTACTGCTATTTTTAACTGCCCCCTTTCCAGCTATTTGCATAATCATTTTCATAGATCTGCATATGTTGTAAATAAATTCTCACTCATTTCAACTTAAATAATTTGACTCTCTTAAACACTAGTTCCTTCCAAGACTCTTCCCTGACTGCCTTTCACTCCCACCAGGCCCTCAGCCTCCCTCCCTGAGTTTCCAGGCAGCAGGGCACTGAGAGGCTGTCTTTGACTGCATGCTCAGCATGTCAGATCCTTTTTTGCTGGTTTCCTATCATTTTGGAAGGTTTTCTGTAGCCAAGTCAATGACCATTGAAGTAACTTAAATTCTTATTCCAGAAAATAAACCACTTGATTAAAAAAAACCTTTTGTCTTGTGTTATTCTCCCTGCATAAGTGCACTTCCATTCTAAATTTAAGCTAAGCACAAGTGAAGGTACAGTTGGTGTGCTCTGTTGGACTTCGGCTGGCTGCGGTCTCCCTCCTGTGTGATGGCGAATAGTGATATTTGGAATGCAGAAGAATTGCGTGAATGGGAAGGAAGGCAAATGTTCTGGAAGCCCTACTATTGTCTAGATTTCTCTAGGGCTTAGCCTCTGGGAAAATGCCAAGCTATATTCCTGCAACCATTTTTGCCAACTTTTTGTTTTTTCAGTGTGCCTCTCTCTCTCTGTCCGTTTCTCAACTGTCCCCAGATGGACGTAATGAGCAGTGCCACTGCAACTGCTGGATCCGATAATGTGTGGCCTGAATGAAGTCCAGTGTTGATGTTAGGGCCACTCATTAAAAATGTGTTTGCACATTGCTCATTGATCGAGAATCTATTAAGTGCTGGCCTGCTTTGGATGAGGCACTGAGGAAACAGAGGTGGGTTAGCCAGATCCAGTTCTCGTGCTAATGGAGCTGCTGTGCCTTCATTCATTCAATAAATATCGATTAAATCCTATTGAGTGCCAGGTTCTGTTCTAAGCACTGGACTTATGCAAGTAAATAAAACATTCACGTATATATTTTGTTTATGTAGTCTAGTCCTTGTATTCTAGAGGTGAAGACTGACGATGAACAACAAATAAATTATGCTTATAGTCCAGTGGTAGAGGCTGACAGTAAATGATGAGTAAATATATAATTGCAAGAAGTGATAGATGCAGCAGGAGAAAAATAAAGTAGGCTTAAGAGTTGGAGGTGGTGATTGGTGATGAAACCCAGAGATGGGTTGTTTCAGTTACTTTACTTGTCTCTGAGACACAATACCTGACACCCACAGCTGAAAGAAGGAGAGGTTTATTTTGGCTCACAGTTTCTAACAGTTGCAGTCCACAGTCAGCTGGCTCTAAGGCGGGGCAGCATGGCAGAGGAGAGCCGCTCCTAACATGGCAACGGGAGGCAGAGAGCCATCAAGGGAGGAGGAGGGAGATAGACCCTTCCAGGACACAGCCCCAGTGACCTCCTCCTCCATCCAGGCTCCACCTCCCAACATCGTATTTAATACAAACTCATCAGTGGACTAATCACACCCCCACGATCCAATCAGCTCCCCCAAACCCCACTTATGAGCACAAGAGATTTTGGAGAGAACATCTAGATATAAACCATAATAGTGATGTTCTACCAGGGGCTGGGGGTCTATGGAGGCCTCTCTGAGGGGGAGATATTTGCAGGGACCTGTCAGATTTCATTTAGTCTTGATCCAGCTTTGTAGGAACCTGACCCTGAGCTGATTCATTGTCCTAGAAGACCCTCTGAATAGCTTAGTTCCAAGTCCTCTCCTTGAACTCCCTTCTGCTATGTCCCGTGCCTGTTTGTACAAAGAGTGCTCACCTCAGTGACTCAGAAGCCTTGGGCTCATCTCTGGTAGGTCCAGAGCAACAGTTTACAGAGCTCATGATCCAGGTTCTTTGAGCCCAGGGTTTCCCCACCACTAGCTATGAAGAGGACTTCTGGGAAATTGGAGTTGGTCTTGTGTTCTTTTGCCTATAGGACCTATGCTACTCCTGAGGCAGGGTGGGGCAGAAAAATCCTCAACTGACCACATTTCTACTGGGGCAGGGGCAGGAAAGGAAGTTTGGAGCTTGTTTGCAAAGGATGTTTATCTGGCTGTGGAAAACATGGGCCTCTCTGTGCTTACCCTCATTTTAACCTGATCAGCACTGGAGGCTCCAACTGGTAGCTGCTGCACATAGGCTATAGAAAGGGTTTCTGGGTAGATTTGCTTTTCAGAAAGGGTCAAATCCTTTCTTAGAGCCAGGTTATGAGCCATTGAGGTTTTGCAGCTTACAGGAAGCAATTCTTATCCTTTAGGACAAACCAAAGCAAGCAGAAGTTTGTGTAGAAGCACTGGGGTTGGGAGCAGGAGAGAAGTCACACAGCATTTGCTAAAGGTCCTCGAGCACTTCCCACTCCAGGAAGACACAAGGAAGGCGGTGATGACCGAAACAAGTCACTGCCCTTGAGCAGCTCACAGGGTGGTGGGGACACAGTGTGTGAACGAACCTGCTCGGTGGTAGCACAAGAGAGTGGATCGTGGTGGGTATGGGGAGCAGAGTGGGGGTGACTGCTCCTACCCAGCGTGCTGGACAAAACTTAAGGACACAGAGTTGGCGTTAGGTCTGGAAGGATGAGGGACAGGATTCGGTGGCAGAAATGAGAGAGCATGGAGCATGTTGTGTCTAGGGGAGGAGAAGTGGTTTGTCAGGGATGAGGAGAGTTGAGCCAGGCTGGAGGGATTCTTGCTGTAGAGTGGCTCTCAGCTCACTCGCTGTCCTGTCAGTCAGTGTGAGCTTTAGTGTGTACAGACACTCGCTTCCCTTCCAGAGATTCCACTTCTGGGAGTCTCAGGTGAGTCCTGTGCCGCTGAGCTTTCCACAGCTCCCCTGGGTTCCCAAGTGGTGTGAGAGCCAGTGCTCACGTGCATGCATTCAGACAGTGAGGAACTCGTGTAGACTTTAAACTGTGGAGTGACGTGCTCAAGCGTGTATTTTGGAAATAGCAGTCTGGTGGTAGAATGGAGAATGGGGGTTGGTTGTGTTTTTGAAAAATAGATTTTTATTTTTAATTGACACATAATTGCACATGTATATGGTACGGTGTGACATTTCAATACATGTACACAATGTTTAATGATCAGATCAGGGTAGTTGGCACATCCATCATCTCCGACATTTATCACTTCTTTGTGTTGGGAACATTCAAAATCCTTTCTATTAGCTATTTTGAGATACACAATTAATTTTTGTCAACCATGGTTTTCTTACCGAGCCGTGGAACATCAGAAGTTATTCCTGCTATCCAGTGCACCCCTGTACCCACTAACCATCCTCTGGGGGAGGGATTGCAAAGCTTAGAGATTCACAGACAAGCTAGGGCTGCTGCAGTAGCCCAGGCAGGGGATAAAGCCTTTTTGGCCCGTGGCAGGGATGGTGGGGAAAGGGAGGTGGGCATAGATGAAAGAGATCTTTAAGAAGAGGAATAGACAGGGTCAGAAGAGGATGGGTCCTTCCTCAGTGATGTTTGGAACTGGTTGTTCTTGGTAGCAGCTTCCTCTGGGAATGGGTCCCAGAGTTTGTTTGTCAGATGAGGTCAGGAACTTTGCTTTATAACTTAGGATCTCAGGGATTTGAGTAGTATTACAGACAGAAGATTCTGAAGGAGCCCGGGAGAAAGATAACGAATGGCTCAAAGAATCGTGATCAAGGAAGGAAAAGGACCATGTGTAGGTGTGAAAAGAGAAGGTGGGCAGGTAGAAAAGCAGATAAAGCAACAGCATGTCAAAGGAAGAACAAGTGAACCAGTGAAAAGTTCTTGGCGAAATTCAGTTACTGAAAAAGGTCTGCCAAAAGTTTGTCCAGGTCAGTATCGTAAACTATTCACCAGAGTGGTGGAGAGGGTCCGGAGGGAGTTCAGGTCCGTAGGAACTGATCCATATGATTGGGCCGGCAGTCCAGTGCGAGAGGCATGCTATACTCAGTCTGGCCAGCAGATGGCGGTGTTGTCCTGTCAGGAGCCTCTCCACTGTCACTTTCTGAACCCCATAAAGTTCTGAGGCTGTGCTTCCCCACTTCTCCCCTCTCTTGGGTCGCATCATCTGGAAAGTCAGCCAGCGGTGGGTGGGTCCAGCTCAGCATCCCGCCTTGCGCTTGGTGGTTGCTCAGGCAGTGCTGCGGCTGGCCTAAGGCACGTATAGGTAAGTGGGCACTACCTTGAAAAGATGGCGTCCACAGACCCGGTGTGGGGCTGGGAGATGAGACAGGTGAAGGAGGTTGTCAGCACGAAGAAAGGTGACAGAAGGACCCTGGGAGGAATTTCAGGCAGTTCTAAATTTTCGTGTTTCCAAAGTTTTCTTTTTTTGGTACCGGGGATCGAACTCGGGTCCTTGCACTTGCGCAGCAGGCGACGAAACCACTGAGCTAAACCCCCAGGCCTCAAAATCTTCCTTTTAGTTCGTCATTTCTATGGGGAAAATGCGTTGAATTTCCATTCCCATGTTCCAGAAAGAAGTTAGGTCATCTCATAAAAATCTGTTTAACTATAAAATAGATGAAATGCAATATAATATAAGAATAGAAATAGAAAACAATAGTATTGCAGTAGTATTTTCATTTCAATGAAAGAAATGAAAAACATTTTTAATTTTGGTGAGTAAAGAGAATTAGGTTTAATCAGAGAAGGCTAAGGAGCCAGATGAGGATTTATGTGAAATTTCTGGAGACATTTGGGCACTGTAGAGGCTCATAGCTAGAACTCTGATCAGGTTTAGTAAGTCTGACTCAAAGGAGGTTCTGCTAGTTCAGCAGTCTTTGAGGGGTCCCAATGACCGGACCAGCCTGGATTGAGGTGCCTGGTATATGGAAGCACTGAGGCAGGAATCTGAAGGCTTTGGTTTCCATTACAGGCTGGGTAGGATGGGCCTCATTTTCTTCATTTATGAAGTGAAACTCATCAGGCATGGTAATGCATGTCTGTAATCCCAGCCCTTGGGAGGCTGAGGCAGTAAGATTGGTGCGAGTTCGAGGCCATCTGGGCTGCATAGTAGGTTCAAGACCAGCCTGAGCTACACTGTGAGACCCTGTCTTAGAAAAAAAAAAGTAGAACTCACAGAAGATAATGAAAGTGCTCTTTATGTATTATAAAGCCCTCTGAGGTGGTAAGACAGTAGGTTTGGATCTTTAAGTCTTTATAGTTTCATTCAAAACTTTTGAGGGCATTTTTTCCTTGATGGAGGTGTATCTCTAGCCAGCTCTAAGGCTATGAATAGCCAACAGGATTATATGGTTCACAATAGAAGAAAGACAAAGGAAAGGTGAGAAAGAGAAAGGTTGGTAAAAGTCAAGGAGAACCCTTTTCTCGCTTGACCTGTCTGCATCATTTGATTGTATGGGCTGTTGCTTTCTTCTTGAAAGTTTCTCCTCTTTGACTCCCAGGACACAGTACTCTCATGATTGTCCTTCTACTCGTATTAATAATACCTAATATTTATTGAGGGCTTTGTGTAAGCCAGGCCCTGTGTTAACACTTTATATGTGCCATCCCATTTCATCTTCTCCTTCCTATGAGATAAGGACTATCACTAGCTCAGCTTTGTAGATAAGTCTTAACGGGGATTAAGTCACCAGCCTAAATTACATAACCAGTGAGAGTGGGCATTGGGTTTGGGACCACTCTAGCCCTGAGTCCTAGCCCACAGCACTTAGGAAGGTTTCTGTATGGTCCTTGTCAGGCTGTCCCCTCCATGGTCACTTCCAGGTGTACCTCCACGTTGTCAACCATGCAAACAGTGCCCTGCTCTCTCGACTTCTTCCTGTGTAACTCTCTGTACTTGTGTGTCCTCCTAGCAGCCTGTCCTGATATCGGCTATGGGGCTTCCCCACTAAGGAAGGCGGACCACACTATATTGCATTGGTTTATCCACTTGTCTGTCCCCTCAGGCGGGCTGTGAGCCCCTCCAGGACGAGTTCATATCATTAGCAGCTCGTGTGCTCTGTTCATAGTGTATTAATCAGCTTTTTGTTGCCCTGACCAAATATCTGACATACAAAACCCACACATTTATTTTTGGCTTATTGTGTTAGAGTGCTCCATTCCTGGTTAGCTGGCTCCAAGGCGGAAGCATCCTGGCAGAAAGGTATGATGGAGGAAAGCTGCTCACCTCAGGGCATCAAGGAAGCAGAGATAGGGAAAGAGATAGAGGGGAAGGAGCAAGGGACCAGGTAGAGTCACAAGCCCAGCACCCAGCCAGACATATCTAACCTCGGCGTCTCTCAAGCCAATCAAACTGACAGTCAAGATTAATCGTGACACATAGTAAGCAGTCAAAATTGTTTATGAAATAAATAGCCCAAGGAGGGGGCTAGATGTAGGCACACACAGCCCTTCCTGAATAAAGTGTCTTTTTGTGGGGCTTCCCACAGAGGCATTTGAAAACATCCTTTGAAACTAAGATGGAAGCAGAAAGCTGATTGAAATGATTCTTTGTTTAGTCTTATAATCCCGTGACTTTGAATTTGGAAATAATATTAAGGTCAAAGGCCAAGAGGCCAGAGCAGAAGTGCTCTCATGAGTTGGGAATGCTGATGGATGATGGCATTGTGTAAATAAATCCACATTTACACCCCAAAGTGTGGCTGGGTAGGTAGGGCTCACAGCACTTAGCTCTAGTGTCCCTCAAGTGTGCAGCAGCTACTCCTCCCTCCCCAGGTGATTTCCAGGCAACATCCCTGCTCTGCACTGGAAGGTCCAGGAATGTTCTGAAGAAATGAATAGGAAAGTGAATGAAGTTTCTCTTCCCTGGTTGTCCTGAGTCTGAGTGGCAGAGAAGGGAGCCCAGGAATCAACTAGAACTACACGAATCACCTGCCTGGTAGGAGACGGGGAAAAATGCAAGTGTGTGCTGTAGCCTTCCTTCCTAAGCCCTCCCTCCCTAAATACAGTCAGCACAACAGCATTTTTGCCAACACATTTGACTGCTCTTCCCATGAGATTAAAGGCCTATGGTGTCCAGGATGGGAGCTGCCAGTCTCAGCTTGCTGTTGAGCACTTGAAATATGGCTATCATAATTGAGCTACTGGATCTTTAATTTTATTTGATTTTAATGATTTTAAACAGCTACATACGGCTAATGGTACTGTGTTATTTAGACAGTATAGAGGACATTTCCATCATTCCTGGTTCTCTTGGACAGTACTGGTTCAGGTGGCTTCTGCTTTGATGGCAAGCTTTGCATTAATTATCAAGAGAGGGATCAGAAGTATCTAAGTCATTTCATTTCATAACCAACATGAAGCTGTGGTGAGCTTGAAAACACGCTATACGTTTATACACACATACACACACACATGCACATGTATTTCTATCCCTAGTGCCTACTGTAGAGGTTCTTGATCCTCCTGTCCCAGCACCAGATTAATCCAGAGACCTAATTTTGCTTAGGTCTTTGCTGTGGTTCTCCCTTCCCTGTAAGAATACACTAATCCTATTGAAGGGAAAGTTCCCTAAGTGCTGTTTATTTGTGACTGTCAACTTGACTGGCTTAATCCTGGAGAGGTGACTGGATTGTGAGAGCACTGAGCTCATCAATGGATTAATCCATTTATGAGTTCATAGCTAACTTGGCTATTAGGAGGTAAGGCCTAGTTGAAGGAAGTAGGTCATAGGGCTGTAACCTCGGGGACTATGTCTGGTCCCAGCCTACTTCCTCCCTGGTTCTTCCCCTGTTCGCTGCTTCCAGGCTGTCTTGAGGTGAGCAGCTTTCCTCTGCCATGCTGTTCTGGCACAATGTCTCTGTGCCTTGGAGTCAGATGACCATGGACTGAAACCTCTGAAACCATGAGCCAAAAATAAACTTCTCCTCCTTTAAATTGTGGGTATCCCAGAGAAGAGAACTAATACATGTTGCCAAAGAACATCACTGTTTTCCCACAGTTGCCATCTCTGAAGGGATTCATCTGAGGCTGACTGCTTTGCAGAGGGTAAAGGAGCCACCTTCCTAGTTTTCCAACCTCTGACTCTACTGGAGAAATGCAGTGACCAGGGAGGACAGGGCCTTTTGTGTCCCTGTGGGAAATCCCTGCATCCACCATTTCTGAGTGGCCAAGCAGGAGTAATCCCTAAGGAGGTAACTGACTGCAGCAAGTAAGGAGGCGAGGCACAGCTTTTAATTTTCAAAATATTTATTTAAATAAAATTTTTCTTTTTATGTGTCTGAATTTTACAGAAAGAATACTGACAAATACTATACAACTTTGTTTTTTGTTTTTGTTTTTGCTTTTTTTTTTTTTTTTGGTACCAAGGATCGAACTCAGGACCTTGTGTCTACAAGGCAGGCGGCAGAACCACTGAGCTAAATCCCCGGGCCTACTATACAGCTTTGGCCACTTGAATTCTTCTTTTAAAGGTGACTGCCTTTTTATGCATTTTCCTCTGCTTTTTCTTTCTCCCCAAGAAATTAAAAAAAAACAAAAAGCAATTCCATTGACAAAGGAAAAAAGACCCCTGATGTCACCTGAGTCTGGGTGAGGCTGTTCAGAAAGTGAGGGGATGAGGGTCCTCTTGGGCTTGTGCTGGCTTGGGAAGCCTCTTCTGTATGAATCATTTCTGTTCCTCATTAATGTACCCTCCCCAGATGGGCTCAGGTTGAGGTTCCACCAGTCGCCAGTAAAAGTGAAGAGGAACAGAGGGACAGAACTGGCATGGTGCAGAGAAAAGAAAGGAATGGGAAAGTCAGGTAAGAATAAAGTGAGAAGAAAATGAAAAGGACATCTGCCTTAGCTCCTTTCACATTTCCATTGATCCAGTAAGAATGTGAGGCCCATTGTGAGCCCAGCACTATTCTGGGTACTCCATAAGGCTGGGGTGGGGGTAAATCCCATTCATTTTGGGGGGTTCTGGGTCCCATGCTATGGAAGCGATGGAGAAGGAAGTTTCTGGGTGTTTCATGGCTGGAGCTGGAGCAAGTCCATTGGGTTAGGAGACAGCAGGGATGCTGTGCCGGGAGACAGAGGACTTATCTCAGGAATGACAGTTGACTGCTGTCTTAACTCAAACTGGCAGCCAGTTGCCATGGAGACCATGGTCCCTGATCCTGGTGATCCATTGTCCTGGATCACATCTGACACCCCGTCTTGGCTGTCAGCTCCCACATCTCCCCCAAGTCGTCTTTATGGGATTGAGAGGTGAAGATGGGAAGACCAACTCATCCTGGTGGGCAGCAGTAGACATGGGAGGCATGTGGTGTGGGAGATGACTGCCATCCTGTGATATGCAGGGGACAGCTGGGTGCTCCAGTACAAGCTGTCCCTGTGACAAAGGGATGGATAATCAGAATGCCTAGGCCTGAATGCCAAGGGAATGTAGGGCTATGTAGAGTGACAGGGTGGCTAGCTCTAAAATGTATGCAGGCCTAAATTATGATTCACGTGGTTATCTGTTAGGAGATCCTGATAACAGAGTCACTAGCAGTTACCCACTGTCCAAGGGCCAGGGTACACTGGGAGGGTAGGTGAGTGACAGGTAACCTGAGTGAGCAAACAGTACATCTTTCCATTCACACAGTTATTGGATTTGGTTTTTTGCCACTGTAACTGTCATAGCTTAGCTATCTTATTAATTAGACAGTGATTTTGCCACTGTCTAGAACAGCTTCCATGGGAAAATATTTCAAGAAAGCTCCCTGGCAGATTTGCAAATGAACTGTTAGAATACAATCTACTCCCAAGTTGGGAATTATCTATCTTTGTAATGTTGTCACAATCAGAATCAAAACACAACCAGCTCATCCTAGAGGTGGATTAACTCTGCTTCTAAATCTCAGTCTGGGGCAGGGGAGAAACTTGCAACTCACTGCAGATCTTGTTTACTGTCCTTATGTACCTCAGGGCACATGTGTCAGCTCAGCCTTTGGTCCTGCACATAGTGTCCTGCAAGTCAACACTGAGTCTGGTCCACTGCAGCAATTAGGGGACTCTGGTTGAAGAGAAGGTCACTTGGGGGAATGGTGAGGTATTACAAGTTTACCCTTATCACATAGCCAACAGCAACCACAGTTATGAGTACCTACTTGCCTGAGCTTCAAGATAAATATTAATAAACATTTTATAGATTCAGCCTAGTTTCACTTAAACTGTTACTCCTGCATTCCTGCAACATACCATGCACCCATTGCACACTTGTGAAATCATTTCCAGTGTGCCTTCTTTGAGACTGTACTGGTGGCTGTCTTTAATTCCTTCCCTACTGAAAACATTTGCATACAAAGAAGATACCAAGCTCAGGTGCAGCATCTTATTACCCTTTCCATTGTAAAACGTGCATTGCACAGGTACATAATTGCAGCCCACTGAAGTAAATCAGTGGCTTTCCATAACTTGCTAGCAGTCACTGCCAAGAGTGGTTTGTTTTTACTTGGAAAAGTCCACCTTGGTTAAGGGGTAGCATCCCAGAGAGGTCTTGGACATTAAATATCCATCAGTGGTAATGAGGACCTTGACATTAGTTCCAAGAAAAGAGCTTTCAATGAATTTTTATCCATCATACTTTAAACTTTTAGGTACAGGTAAGGGGCCAGAAGTACAGGAACTTGGTGTGTTCATATCAGTATATACTGGGAGAGGACTGTACCAGGTTGCTGGAATCTCCAAATGTGAATATTCCAGTAAAAGGCTATGTAAATATAGGAATAGGAAAGCATATGACTCCAACCTGAGTGGTATATGGAATTGACAGTGTGCAGGAGTCTTGCCTGGCTAAATAGTTGTATATGTGTGCCTAAACCTGGGCACACTTTTTTGTGAAACATTTCCACATGTGTAGATAATGTACAGCCTTGCATGAAGTATGCATTCAATGGCTATCTGATGAACAGAATATATTTGCCCATGTACCTGTTGTCTGAATTTGCATGTCACTGGTGTGTGTATGTACACTTGGAAGCCATGTCAACACATATAGGTGAATGTTCCTTGTGCTTTTATTTATGGGGAATGGTGGAGACAGGTGGAATGCATGTCTGGTTCTGTAGCAAAAAGCATTGCTATTGGACACATAGCTGCCAAGGCAGTGCAAGAATTGTTCATGTGCTCTCCTGGGAGTGTGTTCCATTGGGACACTCAGTCTGAGATTTGTGCCTTGGTTGAGTAGCTACTCTGTGGACATGAGTGCATCATTTCAGAGAGTCCTTCTCCCTAGTCTCTGTGTGGTTGGAAGGAGGTTTGGCCCCAGAGGAAGGACACCTGTGCTGACTGCTAATAGATAGGCAGTGACGGCCTCTTCTCCATCTGGAGGAGCTTGGGCTGAGCCGAGATCCAGAGGTCTTCTTCATCCTTCTTCTTCTTTTTCTTGTGTCGTTCTGGCTGTTGTTGGTTCTTGGCTGCTCGGCTCCAGCAGCAATGGCAGCAGACGAAGAGGAGGGTGAGGATCATCAATAATGGTAGACCTAGGAGGACAGCCAGGCAGATGGTGTTGAAGAGGCCCTCTTGGTGTTTGGTCAGGATGGTGTCCCAGATAGAACTGAAGAAGGAGCTGATTTTTTCCATGGTGATTGGCTAGTATGAGGACAGAGGTTCTTTGCAACACACTAGCAAGTCCTGGGTTCAAGAAGACACAGCCTTTGACACTTGGAATTTATTCCTCTTTCAGCTTTGAGTTTGAGCATGCCACAGATAAATCCTGCAGAGAATAAAACAGACAGTTCAAGAGAAATGCAATGGGAATGGTCTATAATTTTAATAGCATCATAGATTTTAGGCTTAGAAAGGGGAAGAAATTGAAGATTTCCAAAGAGTCCACTGAAGTTGTACTAAGACTCAATAAACAGGATAAATTCATGCATTTTAGTCAATAACCACTAACTAGTTCCTGCTATGTAGACACATGATACTGAGTTTAGGATAAAAGAATTAATATTATATCCGGTCGGATGCACAGTAGATGATCAAGAATTGTTGGATAAATGAATCAATGTGTATATCTAGTGTTCTGGTTAGGGGCTGGCTCCCTAGACCCTCCACAATGGCAGTTCTTGACCATTTCTTCACTGCAGCTCACCTGACAGGTGTTGAGTATGCACACCCCATGGGACAGTTTGGTATCTGACCTTCTATGTACATAAGCTGCCATTTGTGATGCCTGTTAATGCATAAACACAAGATGAAATGGCTGCATCTTGCTGCCTGTGGTGGGAGACCTTGGGCCTCCTTAAGGCTAAGAGGTCATCAGTCCTCACCTTGCCTCACTCCTGCCTTCCTGTCTGCTTGCTGTCTTCCCAGCTCCATTTCTCCTCCTCTCCTTATGTCCGACTTCTATGTCTGCTTAGTTTCTTCTCCCTCCTTACCTTCATCTCTGCTTTTGGTTTCTTTGTCTTCAAGTCTCCTTCCTACCTGTTCCCTTTCTTCCAGGGGGAAAGGGGCCTTGAAGTTCCTTGGAAACTGGAGTGGGGTTTCAGGATGCCTCTCTGCCCCTACGCTGACCTCAGTGTACAGCAGGGATTAGTCCCCTCTTCCTTTGTCACCTCTCCACCTCTCTACATGTGTCTTAGGGCTCAGCTGTTAAGTATAAGGTCTCAGAGGCTTCCTTGGGATCTAGAATCCATGGGTTCTTAGGTCCAAAAAAGACTTTGAGGACAGATATAATTCAAGACAATTTTTGGTGCAAGACATTGCCCTGGACCTAAATATCAGAGTCATTGATTTTTGGGCTGGAGGGTTAGAAATCATCCTGACCAATTCTCACTTAAGGATGACAAATATAAAAGTCAGAGTGGGGAGGTGATGTGTCTGGGGCCACATAGAGCTGCCAGACTTCTGTGTAACAAGTCCAGCACTCTTGCGAGGGGGCTGGGCAAGTGGAAGAACTAATGATGATAATACTATTTTGTGATGTATTTCATTGATATTTTTCTAATCACTTTCACATGCATTTTGTCTTTTAAGCGAATAGGATGGTACAGTGACTGTGGACAGATGCACCACGGGGCGTAGGTCCAGAATTCAAGGTTAGCTCAAGCTTATTTTTATTTCCTTGTACTGGAGGATAAAGGTATGGCCTTTTTGGGTGGTGTGTTATACATAGTGCCCTCAAGAGTTGTCCTTGAGGTCTCATTTCTTAGGCAACATGCTCTATAAATGTCTCATATGCTCAGTGCCTGAGGATCTACGAAGGCCCCTCCTGACATTAGTTCTGGTTAGGTGGCATGGTATCCTACTCCTGACTGGATAATTTGCACAATTTTTGCAATTATACAAATTGACACTTTATACTGTGCCCTTTTGCCTACAGAGACTGACGCAATGCTGTAAGAGCACAACAATATTTTTAGGTAACTTTTATTAAGCACTTATTCTATGCGAGCATTGTTCTAGGCACTTTACTCCTATTAAGTATTCATATTCATTACAGTCTTATGAAATAGGTACCACGATTCCCCTATTCTGCAGCTGAAGAGATGGAGACACGAGTCACAAGTGGCTGAGTTGGCCTTGCTCCTGGGGAGTTTGGCTCCAGATCTCTAAGAGGTGAGCTGTTCCCCAGAGTTGCTCTGGGGCCTCCTATTCCTTTGTATGGAATTGACCCATTTTTGGCAAACAGCCCAGGCCTTGCAGAATCTTACAATCCTTGGCTATTCCTCAGACTGACTTAAACATTTATCCCAGTCTATTGTAGAAAATACTGCAAAGAGATTTACTTCCCATTGTTAGGCACTTGCCAAATGCTGAAAGAAACATAAAATAAAACCGGAGTCCTGCCCAAGTGCAGGGTTATAGAAAGCACATGGCTGTCCACATTTAAATTCAACATGCACTACAGAAAAGAAGCCACCTCCTCTCCCTGGAGCTTCTTCCAAAGCCCCTCTTGGGGCCTGGGAACAGCCCATGACATGGATTCGCCCACACATCACCAGGCCCCGGCTCTTTGTAGAGAAAAGCACTCCCTGGTGTCCTATAAACCCTCTCCTTTCACACCATTCCCTCTCTTCTGGGCTTTCCTTCTCCTAGGCTGTGGCCTTTGCTTTTCCCTCAGCCTTGTGTGGCCCATGAAATTTTGGCTCATTTGTTGTGGAAGACTTTGGGTGCTTTTCTCTACTTTGATCCTACACATACCTTTCCTGGGACCAAGCATTTCTTGCATGTATAATCTGTGATTCATGTGAGAGGACATCATCATCACAATTACTGATAATCAGAATACTGGTTATTCTGCATCAGGGTGATGTTGGTCCCTGTAGGGAACAGAAGAGCACCAAAGGCCCACTTTTGGGGTCAGCTATGGAAGACAGGAAGGGCAGTGAGCCTTATGAGAATATTAGGGAAGTTTTCATGAAGGTGGAGACACATAAGAAGGACCTTGAAATATAAGTAGGATTTTGACAGAGAAATGTAAGTGAAAAGAATATTCAGACATTCTAGGCAGAGAAATTTCTAGAGACTGAGCGGGAGAACAGAACATCTGATGAGCCTGGGGCTCAGGGTAGGAGCAGAGATGACTGAAGATAAACTAGATGGGTATTTTAGGGACAGAGCAGCTATGGGCATTCATTTGGGGGCTTTGTAACAGAAGTTGTGATCAGAGCTGCACTTTAGGAAAAGATCACAAGATAAAAAAAGTTCTGGAACATGGTCTTCATTTTTCCCCTTAAAGAATTTATTAGGTCACCTAAAGATCTTATGAGATACATAATAAAATAAGTTCTGAATTACCTGGAATTTATGGCAAAAGGAGAAAAACATTTTGCTTTCGTGTGTCGTTCCCACTTCTCAAAGAAAGAAAAACATACTTAGCCATATAAAGAGATGAATAGTTCTCTGGCACTGGTGGTAAATGTTTTAGGAGAGCTCTTTATCTGTTTAACAAACATTTATTGGACACCTAATATGTGCCATGCTCTTTGTTAGGTGGTGTGGATTCAGCAATGAATGACAGTTATAGTTTCTGACATCATGGAGCTGAGTATATTCTGGGGGAGTTATTATTATTGAAGGATCATGTCATAAAAGACAAATATAATAAGCAAACTCCAACGCAGGTTGCTTAGTTGGCTGAAATAAAAGCATGCATTTGAATTATGTGTTTTTCTCTGTGTCCCAGGGCCTCCTACCCCTCCCACCTTTGTCTTAAACTTGCCCATCCCATGGCATCTAAAATAGCCTTTGAATAAATAGATTTCTTTTCAAACTAAGGCTAAGTCAATAACTCACTTCTGCATTCCTAAAGGTACTTATTTGAGTCTGCTCTCCACACAGCCAAAGAGAGTATTCATTAACATTTGGGAACCTAGTCTGGGGAAAATTCGATTAAAAGGTATTCTTTATATTTTTTTTAATCTAAGAATTCTCTTCTAGGCCCCCCTAGGTTACTTGCTGAGCTCTGCTAATCTATAGTGTTTCATTAGTATTTATGAGCTTTGCATTATTAGCATTTCCAGGAAACAATCAAATGTCTCCTTGGTGGTATGAATTAAAAGTTGGCGCTTTCGTGGGATGGTTCGCAAAAGAAGCCACACTCTGGGCTCTAGAAAGCACTCTGGAGACTTTAGCCTTTTGTTGACTTTCAAGTGTCACTGACACTATTCGAAATATAATTCATCTGTTCTTGTAAAACCAACAATAGGTGCCAATCAACCTTCACTGTTTGACTGTGGTTGTGGGGTGGGTGTGAAGAGAGAGAAGAGGGGAAAGTTACCTTCAATTCTCTGGAAACCAAATATTATTATCTCTGTGTCCTCTGTAATGTCTGGGGGATAGGGAGAGAGTCCTTCTTCTTTTTTCCTCTAGCCTCTATCTGCATGTGTGTAAAGTGTTGATGGAGAAGAAGATACCAGGACCAGAAGACTGACTTGGGTTTGAGCCCTGGGTTAACCTGAATGACCTTGGCAAGTTCTTGAACCTCAGCTACAAGAAGTTAATAAGCTTTCCTCATAATGATGTTGTGGGGATTAAAAAGGCTTAATCTATTTCATGCATTTTGTAAACTGTAAAATACTATACAAACATAATCCATAAAACAGTGGGTTATCTCCAAATAACAATGGATTAATCCTAGCCTTGAGCTTTTCCTCCCCACCCCTGACCTGTAAGCCCAGTTGTCCTGGCAAAGAACTACAAAGCCCCCATCTCATTCAAATGGAAAGGGCTGCATGAGTGACCTGCCTGCTTTGTGGCTGTAATTCTAGATTTGCATCCATGACTATATGGAGAAGGGTCACCTGGGAATTATCTGCTGGTGTCTGGAGGATTGTTGAACTCATAGGTGAGGCCTGAGGAGAGTGACCAGCTGTCTATAGGCCCCAGCCTCCTTTCCAAGCTTTGGGAACCTGGGAAGTATACAGGGGTGAGCCCTTCCTCAGGGAAGTCTGATCCAAGCTCTGTGAGCCAAAAGCTGCTGCAGTGTTGTGTTCCGGGCTGGCCTGGGGCTGGGGGCTGGAGCTCTCCAAGACTCAGGCAGGGGATTCTACTTTGCATCAGCCTCTCATTCTCCATGCTTATTAGATAAAATGGTACATGTAAAGTTCTACAGTGCCTGTCCAATAGTAAATGTGTTCTAGCAAGGTTCAGGATGGGGACCATGAAGGCACCCAGTTAAATCCCCAAGACCAACCCAGAAGTGACCTCTGAATGGTACAAATCCTCAGCCTTCTTGTAGGAGTGAGAGGTTCAGGTCTCTATTAGAACTGTGAGATTCCTCTGCTGTAGCTGCAGACTCCAGAAAAGGCATGAGGACTACCTTACAATTAAAAATAAGGGTCAATGACCTCCCCTTGTACCTCTCCTCAAATTCTTCCTTTGTGGGAGACTGTAATATTGATTATGCCCAAAGCAGGCTGTAAAGAGTTAACCCCACAACTGGCTTGTTTATAGAAGTGAGTCTAGCTGAAGCCTACATGCTGATGTCAGAGTAACTTGCACCCAAATTCTGTTCCCACAACTAAAACCTTCTAACTAGAAGGAATGTTTTAATTACAACCATATATTTTGTCTATTCTGTTCCTAATTTGAGAAGGCTTTGTCTTGTCCTTTACAAGGCTTGCTTGCATTAATTTCCATAGAAACCCCACGACTGTGCATCTTCACATGTAGTGCCGCCCTTGCACATGGCATGCCTTTACCCCAATTGATTACCAATAAAAATCAGTGTTTGGACTGGCCAGTGCCTTTGTTGGTTGCACTGGCATTGGTTGTCCTGGTGCCCTGATTTCTGTCTCTCTTATTCGTTTAGTTTTTTTTTTTTCCTCTCAGGCCTGGTTCATACACTGGGCAGGAGATTGGAGCCTACTGCAGAGGTTTCCAGTAATGTTTCAGGGGTCCCCAGTATCCCTTTGTGCTTTGTCTTGAGTTGGGAGTTTCCTGGTGCTTGGTTTATCTCTTCTGCCCAAGGACCTTAAAGGACAGCCAGATGAACTTCTGGCCAGGCAGAGTCACTCAGGTGGTTAAAGATACAGACTCCTCTGGGCCGGCGATTTAATTCAGTGGTTCCGCCACCTGCCTCGCAAGCACAAGGTCCCGAGTTTGATTCCTGGTACCAAAAAATAAAAAAATTAAAAAAGATACAGACTCCTCTAGTTCTGTGAAATATACTGTTGGAATTTCAATTGGAATTGCATTGAATCTGTATAGCAGTTTTGGAAGTATGGCCATTTTCACTGTTGATTCTTCCTACCCAGGAGCAAGGAATGTCTTTCCATTTTCTTATATCCTCTTGGATCTCTTTTTTCAGAGTGCTGTAGTTTTCAGTGTAGAGGTCTTTTGCTTCCTTCATTAGATTGATTGCTAGGTATTTCAGTGTTTTGGATGCTATTGTGAAAGGGATTGTTTCCCTAATTTCTCTCTCAGTGAGTCTGTTATTTGTGTACAAGAAGGCTATTGATTTTTAAATGTTGACCTTGTATCCTGCTACTCTGCTGAATCTGTCAATTAAGTCTAGAAGTCTTTGAGCGGAGTTTTTTTGGTCTTCTATGTAAAGTATCATATCATCAGC